CTTGAGTCTGATTCTACCCGTGCTGGATGATTGAGGTCTTATGATTGTGTGTGTGTGTGTCCGTGTGTACATAATGTACAGGTCAACAATAGTAATACAAATTAAAGCAGTAATTAGAGTTTGACGAGTTGAGGAGGAGATATAATTGATATTGTAATGCATAAGATAACTAAAAATAAAGGAATTTGCCTGTGAGGGGATTTAAAAATTCAATCTAGCAGAAAGTAAGAAAGGAACATAAAACAATTGGAATGAAATAGAAAGTTTATTAGTGTTCATACATAAATTAAACACAACTACATGTTGTTTACAAGAGACAAACCTAACTATAAAGAATTGAAAAGGTTGAAAGTAAGATATACCATATAAAGATAAGGAGAAAGTTTGGCGTAGCTGTACTAATACCAGATAAGGTAGAAAGAGCATGTTTATAATGATAAAGGCTTTATTCATCAGGAGGGTATAGCTCTAAATTTATGTAATCCAGTAACATAACTCAAATGGGAGTTTATAATACACCTCTCTTGCTAACTGATAGGACAAGATGAGAGCAGGAATAGAAACAACATATAAGAGGATAATTAATAAAATTAATAAACCTTTGATTAGACTGATCACAAAGAAAGAGAAGGCCTCATTAACCAGTCTTAAGATGAAGGGCACATCACTACAATTATATCTTCATTGATTGAAATGCTTAGAAGTTGCTATGAAGAATTTGATGCTTAGTGCCTCTGAAATTTAAATGAGGTAGACATACTATTAAAAAAATACAACTTACTAAAGCAGACACCAGGAAATACAAAATCAAAGTAATCCTATTAAAGAAATATAACTTTTAATTGAAAAACCTACAAAGAAAATTTTAGGTGCATATCGTTTCACCAGTGAATCTATGAAAGGATAACCATGACCAAATTGTATTCAAGTATTGCAAAGGTGGTTCAACATCCACAACTCAGTCAATGATTTTCACCACGTTAACGGTAAATCTGAAAACTCAATGTCATTCCATTGGATGCAGAAAAAGCATTTAATAAAATTCAGCATCCATTTGTGGGGAAAAGGTTTTAGCATACGAGGATTAGAAGGGACCATCATTACTCTGATAATGGTTATCAGTTAAAAACCTATAGCAACCACTGCTGGAGAAATGTTAAAAGCTTTCTTTTGGAGATTGGGAGTAAAACATGGTACCTGTATCTCCTCTTCAAATCATCACTGTTCTAGAGGTCCCAGCAAATGGAATACGGCAAGGAGAAGAGGGAGGATTGGGAGGGGAAAAATAAATCAAGTTTAAAGTCCTTAGTAGTGCTAGTAGCTGCTCATTAGATAGCTGAGATAAGTTCATCATTGCAGAAAATTCTGTTGAACAGTGCTGTTTAAGAGACTACACAACTGCAACCAAAATCCCAACATGGGTTTACTTGTTTTCGATGAGTTAATTCTAAGATATATATGGACATGCAAAGGGCTAAGAATAGCTAAACCATTCTTGAAGAACAAAATTCTCTATTAAATATTAAAACTTGTAAAGCTTTCATAATTTAGATAGTGCCTGGTTTTTGTACAAAGATATAAGAAATCTAGCTAAGTGTGTATCCAGTAGAACAGAATAGAGAATCCAAAAACAGATCCAAGCATGTATGGGCATGTGATTTATGACAAAGATGGCATTGTAGAGCAGTGGAGAAAGTTTGGTATTTTAATAATTGGGGTCAATTGGATGTTTATTTTGCGGGGAAATGCAGCTAGTTTTCTGTTGCATACCTAAACAGAAATAAATTCAGGAGCATTGCCCATCTGGATGTGAATGGTAAAACCCAACTTGTAGAAGAAAATAGGATTTTTTTTAATGACTTTGCTATAAGGAAAGATTTAAACAGACACCAAAGTACTAATTCTAAAGCAAAAGTGGTAAGAGATTATGCTTATCGAAAAACACCATTAAGAGAGTGACGATGCAGATCAACTCTAAGTATTAAGATGCTCATATCCAAAATATGTTTAAAAATGCAAAAATGTTTTTTTGATAGAAAAATGGTAAAGCAAGTTTTAATAGACATTTCACATAAGTGGATATCCAAATGGCCAATAAATAAATGAAAAGATTCTTATAGTCACCAGGAAGATACAAGTTAAAATCACAGCAGACACTGCACACCTCCTATAATGATTGAAATTAGAAAGGCTGATGATTCCAAGTGTTGGAGACGGAGTGGAGCAGAGGGAATTTTCATAAACTGCTAGTGGAAAAACAGATTGATTTGGAAAAAAAAAACAAAACACTGGAAAAACAGCAGAACAGTATCTCTGTATACCAAAGACACTTAGCAATCTTCCTAGTGGCAGTATTCATACTAACTATGAAGTGGAAATAATCCAGATGCCAATCAAAATTAGAGTGGATAAACAAGTTGTCAAATGTTCATGTAATGGGATGCTATAAAGTAATGATAGTGAACAAACCAGCTTATAAGCATAACATTAAGTATAGAGACCCATTTATATAAAGCTAAAACTAATCTCGTTTTGGAGATCAAGATACTAACTTTTTGGGAAGAGGGGATTTGGATTGATTGGGAGGGGTCATAGAGTGATGGTGGGGGTTTCAAGGATGACGGCTTTTGTTTTCTTCACCACAGGTTCAATTGATGGTAATTGTTATATACTAATGATTTTTGCACTTTTTTCTATATATTATAATAAGTTTAATCATGGTATATAGTGATGGCATTGATAATAGAAACAAATAATATTTTAAAAAGTGCTTTTTATATACCGTGTTCCATTCTGCATGCCTACTTGTGGTATTTTATTTAAACTTCATAACAAGCCTAAGGGAATAGGATTAGTGTCATAATACCTCTGCTTCATAGACAGGGAAACTAAGACCCAGAGTGGTTCAGATATTTGCCATTAGGGCCTGAGTCTTTTTACTGTTTACTTATAAGAGCTATTTATGCTTCCCAGTTTTTTTGTGTTTTTAATAATGCAGATTTAAAGGACCCCCCAATATTTGATATTCAGGTTTCCAGTTTCTTGCTGTTACAAACAATAGTAAGGTAAACATTCTTCCTTACTGTCTTTGTGCACATCATATTATTTCCTTAGGATAAATTTCTAGTGGTTCGTTTGTTTTTAACTGAACAAAGTTGCTCCACATAATTGAATTGAGTGTTATTTTTTTATAATGAGTAATGAAATGTTTAGAAAAGTTATCTCGTCTACCATCATAGGAACATTGTCTTTTTACATATTCAGCAGATATTTATTATGTACCATGGATCAGCTAAGCGCCTCATGCTGTAGAAGAGGGAGACAAGCTAAGGTCTAAAAGCAATGCTAAGGCAGGCGATAGTCAAGTATGGTGGAAGGCTTGAGATTTGCATTTTATAAAGTCACTCCAAGTTGTGTTATTGAACAGATGTCAAGTTGCAGATGGGCAGAGTAAAGACAGGTAACTATTAGGAAACTATTTGGTCATCCAAGCGAAGCATGGGGTAATGGAGATGAAAGGAAGGGGTTGTTGTATTGGAGAGTTCTGTGGGAGGCGGAATCAGTAAGATTGGGTGGCTGGCTGCTGAGGTGGCCTATAGAGGAGACTCTACCAGACTCACAGAGCTTTGATTCTGGTGGACTGGGTGGAAGACAGGTCACCCACTGTGGCAGGAAATAGGAGTGAAACTTACATTTGGAGGAGATTGAGCTTTGCTCTCAGCTTGCAGAGTCTGGGCAGCATTCAAGTAGAGATTAAGTGCCCCACAGGAAGGGGCACTGTCCCCATCACCCTTGACTGTACAGCACAGTAATTGCAGCTGATACTGAGCTGTTCCTTAATTGCCAGAGCTCTTCTAAGTACTTCACATGTATGAAAACATTTAACCTTCACCACAGCCTTTTGAGGTAGATGATATTATTACCAGGAAATAGGTATATAGGGCTATACAACTGGTAAGTATGGAGCTGAAATTTCAAACTCCAGCAGCCTGGCTGAGAATCCGTGCTTGTCATTGTTGGGCCAGTGTTGCTGTATGTCTCAAGAAAAGCAGACTTTAGGAGAAGTACCCTGGTACTGAATAGTCTGTTCTGTAGTGTGGTAGGTGATGGCTGGTTTATTCAGGAAGACAATTGCAAGTATGCTGGGTCCAGAGTTTGTTGACCAGGGTTTTACATTTGCCTTTAGGCTTTAGTCTGTGATGGCAAGTTTGGTTGAATATAAGAAGGATTATTTTTGTGTGTGTGTGAGTTTTTCGTTCTTAAGGAAGAATTAAACCTTTATTGGTTAGCTGCCAAATGTTTTTATGGGCCAAAAGTGTTTATTTTTCATTTCTACAATGAAAATCATGATCATGGATGGTCCCAGACTACCTGTGGGATAATTATTGGTCATTTATTTTTGTGGTGAGCTTGCCAGGTCTAGGTTCTTTTAGGACTGTTGGAAGAGTCCAGAGAAATCCAGCATTCTGTGGATTTGCTTTTTATACCATGCTCAGCCTTTAATTATCTTTGTCAGTGGTGGAGCACCATTAGAACAGATCTTTCACCTGGTTTGGGCGCTGCTGGGGATATTGATCGCCATACATGTGGCAGGTACAAAACAACGTCTTAGCAGTGTTCTTTTGAGTTGGTTTCTAAGGAGCCGGACCCATTGGAGAGACCCTTCACAAGAACTCGAAGATTATTTATGTATTTTATGGTTCTCAATTGATGAAAATCTCATATGTGCAAATAAATAAAGATTATTCTTAATTGCTTTACAGAAAGACTTAAGATTTTTCTCTTAATACAGATTTATAGATACTCATTTTAATCACTATATTTTATACCATGTAACATAAAACTGTTGTGTTGAGTGACATATTGTTTGTGGCTTTAGAGGTTTTTAATGTCCTTGAACATCCTAAAGTCCTTATTTGAAGAAGTATCAGACAGGTCAGAAGATGCAAACGTCAGGCTCCGAGTACATCCTGTAACTGTCCCTTACTGTCCTCTTGTAGGAGGAGAGACTTCAGCATGCAAACCTTCATCCGTTCGGCTTGCACCGTCGTTTTCATTCCATGCTGCTGGCCTTCAGATGGCTGGACAGATGCCCCATTCACATCAGTACAGTGACCGTCGCCAGCCAAACATAAGTGACCAACAGGTTTCTGCCTTATCTTATTCTGACCAGATTCAGCAACCTCTAACTAACCAGGTAAGTTCATGGTGTGTCAGAAACGATGTGTTGGAATGGCAGTTTATTCCTTAAAATGGCAAATAGGCAAAATGCTCTAATGGTTTTCAGTTTTACATGTCAAATGGAATTCTGGATTGACAAAATATGATAAGTTTGTATTAAAGAGGTTTTTTTTTCCTCTTTTTTTAAAATCTATTTCACTCAAACACACTAAATGTAATCACATTATCTTATTCTATGACAGGAGGGGAAAAGGTTTTTCTAAAGAATATTAAAAAAAACTAAAAGCTTATTTTTATCCAGTGGTGGTTAAGTAGAAAAATGTAAATTATAGAACAAATTGGAGCTCGTTATAGCAAACTTATGTGGCCGATTTTATGCTTTTATAAAGTACTTTAGTATGTATACATTTATAAAAATAAGTACAAAACTCCTTAAAACAAAAAAAAAAAGTAATGCAACTTAACCATGCTGTTTAATATTTAGACAGAGATTCCAGCACTTTTCCATAAAATAGTGTAAAGAGAGTAAATGCTGGAATCTTTTGATATACATACATATATATATGTGTGTGTGTGTGTGTATTTTTCATGTCTACCTGAGTTATCTACACTCATCATGTTGATTTTGCTTTGGGGGAGAATTTTTTACTAGCTATAGTGTGGCAGTTTCTTTCCCCACTGGGATTGAGTCTGTGATGAGTGCTGAAAATGGCTGTTTTTCTGTGTACTTGGGAATTTGGTTTACCACTGTTTTGTTTAGGTCTTTTAAATATATCAAGTGAGGATCAAAAACTTGGAAAATTTCAAACTATTTCTTTTACTGGATTATTTGCAAGAAATGTGTTTAGCCTGCAGTTAATGTCATTATTAGGGAGCATCCTTGTATGTATTACAATGACTTTGCCACTAGTTGAGCTTTATATTTATGAAATGTGTATAGCATGTGAGTAACGTTCAGTTAAGCAGTAAGATGAATTATGGCAAGACTTAAGAATTTTCTTTATTCAGTAAATTGAGAAGTTGGATGTTTGAGAATTGGAGCAGTTGGTCAGAATGTTCAGGTGTGGAAAGTATTTAATTGTGTTCCAGAAGAAAATTCTCTGGACATCCAAGAAGGCAGTAATAGCACAATGATTCATTTGCATTGTACTTTTAAGAAACAAAGTATATTAGGATTCATTTTCCTCTTGTTCAAAAGGAGCCTATCAGGAAGGATGCCTGTTTTCATCTGTTTCACAGCTAATGGGACTGACTTCCTCAAGTGTGCAAGCAGTAGATTCTAGAGTCCAACCCAGGCGTCTTTCTTAGATACAGTGCTCTTTGAGTTCTAACACCCAGCATCTGCGGAGGGCTAGGACAAATTCCAGTCCTTTAAAGTTATTTTTATGGTTATTATAGTAGGTAATTTAGCAACATACCTAATTTTAGATACAAAGAATATCTTGTGGATTATTTTTAAATGAGATAATTCATTTAGTATTTTCATTTTAATCTGTAAAATACTTATAAAGATTTATATGCTATAAAAGACTGTCTTTTAAGTATAATATTCATATTCAATGTGTATAATATTATAAAATCATATTCAGCCAAATATTTCTAAACCCCATAAGTTCCTGAATCTAATAAGGCAGTCAGATAGAAGAGAATTTTCCTATAACTGAAGTAAGTCTAAACCACTAAAACTGGGTGCTGCTTTGGCCTGGTCTACAAGTCATAAAACATGAGGTCAAGGTTTTGTTGTGTGAGCTGGTTGTATGACTTGAGTCAGGTCACATGGACCCTTCTGTCTGTTCCTTGAATGTAAGATTGGGACCTTAAACTAGAAGCACCACCCCCTTCTAGCTCTAAAATTCTATAATTTCGTTATTTGATTCTATTGTTTCTAGTTAATTATCCTATCAGTGTCTTTTAAATAAGATTTATTGAACAAGTAAATTGAAATAAGCTAACTTTAACATTTTATTTTTGGTAGTTAATGTTTCCTACAAGTTTAAACACAGTTTTGTTCAAAAGATAAATTTAGGAAACAAGAAATATAATAAAGGCAAGAGTGGAAAAGTATGATTGGTGTTTGGAATGCTGAGTCTTTGGGCTGTTGGAGTTTTCACAGTACCTTTCAGTTCTTAAGCTAAACCAGTACTCTGTGAGTTAAGTATGCTGTTCAACTTTATTAATAGCTTTCAAAATAGCAGGAAGGTAGAATATAGTGTTTCTAATTCTGCATTATATATGAAAATATGAGATAAATATAAACAAAATGGATGGAAGAAACATTAAACTAAAAATCAATTTTTAAGTTCTGGAGCTTATACTATGGAATCTTTTCAGGAAAACAATTGTTTTAGCTCTTAATTCTGTGATCTAAGCACGAGATAGAAACTACGTTTCTTTTGCTTTGTGGTCTGTACCTTCACACAGAAAGGTCAAGAGATGTGAGTGTCGGGGTGTGTGGCTTTCTCTGGGTCGCACAGCCAGATAGCTGAGGCAGCAGGAGGTATCTCATCAACTTTTCTTTCCGAGTGAGAACTGGGGGCTGGGACTGAGGGTAGCCACCTTCAGTTTGGTGAGCGTTTGTGTCTGAACACCAGGGGCTTGCTTTCAGCTGTGGAGGGGAGAAGGGAGAAGGGAGCTTGCTACTTATGGACACTCTCCTGGCTTTGTGACCAAGAAGCAGGAAGTGGAGAAAGCGTCCGTCCATATGGGGCTCCTCGAGGCTTGTACGGATTTGTAACTGAGTGTTTAGAAAAGTTATTTTCTAGTTCTGGGTTTGTGCTTATTGGCATCACAGTACTGGACAAAGAAAATTTGGTTACCTAACATGAAATTACAATGAAGGTTAGTGAAGGGAATGTTACTTAGTTTGTAGAAGTTAATTTGTTCTTTGCATATATTTTGAGCACCTGTTCTGTATAAGGCACTATTGGAAGTGAAATACAGTCTGCTCCGATTGCTGATTTCTTTTTGTAAACAGATGCATATCTGGTTTATATATACAAATGCCCCTGAAATAGTAACTTCTACTGCCAGGGGTATCTAAGAAAAGTAAGGAATTTAGAATTAGCTAATTGATTTGGCCTTTCAGGCAGTGGCTGGCCAGTTGCGGAAGAGGTTAGGAATATTTTGTGAAGCGCCAAGCACATAGCATACATTCATGTTGGATGCAGAAAAACATTATGCCTCAGTCAAAATTATATTCATATCCAATTTTATGTTGTGTACTGTACATTTAAGATTGCTTTTTTGATTGGGTGATCTTGGTGTTTTGAGTGAGCACACTTAGTCCTGGAAAGATGTCGTCAGTGGGTTTTGTTTTTTTAGATGTTTGAAATACTAGTGGAATTGTAAATGGGTAAGTTAAAAACTTAAACACATTCATGGTTTTGTGCATAACTAATTTTAATAAATGCATATGCCTATTTTGTTGGTATTTATTATACATGACTCAATTATTTTGCCCAATAAATAGCCTAAAAATGATTCAACTAAGAGGGTAGAATAGAGGCCTAAAATTAATGAGGGAGCTCCTGGCATAGTGTTGTGGTTCAGAGCACAGGATTAGGTGTGAGAGTGCCTCAGTTCTTCTCATCTCACCTGCATTCTTCCCTGGCTCTAGGACTTTGTCAAGTAATTTTGCACCAGAGACTCTAGTTTCTCATTTGTAAAATGGTTTTGTGAAACCTCACAGTGAGGCTGTGCTCCAGTAGTCCGAGCAGGTTCTTGCTGAGTAAATTATCTTCATGAAAATAATGTCAGGGTCTTAAAAAATAAAAAGGAAATATGTTAAGGGAAATCTCTTATTGCCTTAAATGCTTATAGCATTCATCCGCATAAAAATAATTGGCATGCTTATTACTGACACTGCCTGTTCGTTAAATTAAGTCTTCAAGGAATAGTGTAAGAGTAAAATATTCTGTGACTTTAGCTGTACCTACTATTTATATTAAGAAAAATAAAACTATGTTAGAAAATTAATCATATTTACTTATTCTTACTATCTTTTCAGGACAGATGGTTGTAATCACTGGAGGTTTTTTTTCCTCCTTAAACCTTATTTGAAACTTTAAGAAGGAGAGGATCTTGAGAAGAGATAATATTAACTTGACAGTAACTCCATGAATTTACCATCTGGATGACAGCTTTTAGAGTTTGAGTATAGGTGCAGAGGGAACCAGTGTTCCTGTTGGTTAAAGAGAAAGTACACCTAGGTGACTGCTGTGATAACTATCTTTCATAACACAGGGATGGTGATTTTTTTTCTGTTCTGTCCACTACCACCTTACAACCCTCCTCTTTTTTTTTTTAAACTTGATTAGTTATCCCAAGACTCCTGACACTTCTGTGAGACTTTGCTTGGTATGATGTGGTACTGTCTCTCTGCCCCTCAAATAGACCCAAGTGCCCTTCGAGAGGGGCTGCGTTAGCGGCTTCTGACTCTAGATTTGACTGGCATAAATGTAAGAGCTAGAGAGGACTCCCAAAATGACTAGTGGTGGTGACTAGAAGTATCTTGATGTAATTAATTGGCTTTGAGGATCTATTGATTGCAAAAAGTCCAGTTGGGAATCCCTTCCGTAATGACCCACACTGGAAGAGGTGGGCAAAAACAACAGGGCTAGGACGTGCTAGTTGCCACATTTCTGGGTGTTTGTATAGAGGACCTTCATGCACCTGCTCTGTCTTCTGTCTAGCAGGTAATCCACAGCTGAGCCCTGATGGCCTATTGGATGATGGAAGAGACGTGGTTTAGGATTGGGGTTGGGAGGAGTAAATGGAGTTTGGTTGAAATGAGATTTTTGAAAGAAAAGTTCATGAGCTTTAAGGTGTCCTGTGGAACTTGTTTGTGGTCAGCTCCTATTGTAATTGTAAGTAAGGGTATTGATTGGTATTACAGATCCATTTGCTTATTCAAATATTTATTAAACACCTACTATGTGCCAGGCACTGTTTGAGTCAAAGAAAGTACAACATTGAACAAAATAATTCCTGCCCTTATGGAGTTTTCCTTGTAGTGGAAAGAGAAAGAGAAAAAGCTAAAACCAGTAAGTACGTAAGTGTATATAGTCTGTCAGGTGGTGCTGAATGCTGTGAGAGTTAACAGCGCAGGGAGCCTGGAGGGCATATAGCGTTCCGTTGTGTTGAAGAAATGAGAGCAGATTTCAGCCTTGCTTACAGGGTAGAGCTTGTCAGAGGGCAGTCGGGGGCTGTTGGGAGCTGTACTTCTGCAGCACCAAGCTCCATTCCTGCTTCACGGCCAGCTTGTTTTATGATGCCAACTGGGTTTTGAAGTCCTGTCTTAGGAAGCTCAAGTTGGGTTTGTCTTTGACTGTCATGAACCAGGGCAGGCTTTAGGAATAATTCAGAAGAAATTTTTCATTAGGCTAGTTGTATGGTGGAGAAGACCTTTTTTGGGCAGCACGTGCGAGTCTCCTGGACCCAGGGGTGTGTCTGTAATCCCACTGTTTAATTTGGGGAACAGAATTGAAGCCTTGGGCAGCTGGACATATTATCTGCTAATTTCATTGATTCATTCCAGTGGTTGCCTTCAGTGGAATTGGTTGAAAGAGATAACAGAGATGTATAATATTCTAATGAGATGCCTTTTTAAAAATATACACAGGTTACAGAAGAGGGAATTTATACCAGTACAGTATAGTTAAAGTGCTAGTCTTTTCTGTCTATTTAAGGTGATGCCTGATATTGTCATGTTACAGAGGCGGATGCCCCAAACCTTCCGTGATCCAGCAACTGCTCCGCTGAGAAAACTCTCTGTTGACTTGATCAAAACATATAAACATATTAATGAGGTAAGATTATTGATTTATTATAACAGCTTCTCTCTTGCAATAGAGTGGGGGGAAAGTTATTTTATGACCTATTTAAACATACTAAACTTTTTTATAACCCCAGTGATTGTGATAGTGATGATTATTGTGAAGAGTGGTAAGTTAATGATTTATAGGTGATATAATTATGTAAAAGAATGAAGATAGACTTAACAAGGACTGCAGAAAAATTAAGGTAATTGTGGATAATGTCCCTCTTTTTTCACAATTGTACTTAATAAATGCTGAGTTACCATTTTTGTAATAACTTCTTCAAAACAAGAAAGGGGAAAGTGAGGGCACAACGACACTGTAAACATATGTTTATATTACAGTTTGCTTAAATTTTTATATATTGGCTTCTGCCGTGGATGTCAGGAAGCTCTGAGAGATATTTAATAACCAGTTAACAGGCATTTGGCCTAGTTTATTGTATCTATATTTCTGTGGTTTTAAATTGTCTTTTTAAATTTTATGTGTGTTCTTTTACTTGTAAGATACCTGAAAACCTCTTTGGGTCGAAGTAGGTAGGATAAAAAATGGGCAGCATTTTGAATTGCTCATGTTCCTTGCTCATGAACTTGACTCTTTGCCACCAAAAATTATTTTTCTAGTATCTTCGCCTTTTGGCTCGGTTGCCATTTGCTGTTTAGCCTCAGCACTAGTGCCCTAATTCATTGTGCAGTGAGCGTTTGTGGGGAAGGGCGAGCGAGCCTGTGCTGCTTCCTCTTTCCCTTTGAGTCCTGCGTCTTTTCACAAAAGGCTGACCCTCACCAGCTTTACAGCCATTCATCTAAAAAGATGTTCTTACGTATGTATAGATTTTACAGCACTTTGATGCTGTTTAATGCCAGTAGTATTTATTGTGTCAAGATAAAATTAGAATGAACACAATGAGGAACATTTCTGAGTTGAGTTTTGTACATAAACAATGTGTTATAAAAGATGTGCCAACCTAACTTTTGATTATCTGAAAATATCTGATAAATTTTAGGTATTAGCTGTTGATAACAGTAACTTTGTGAAGCTTGTTTTTAACTGTATTGTTACCTTGTAAACTAGGGTTTTTCTAATGTTATTCTGTGAAACCTAATTTGTAATTTCCTCAAAGTTAGTTACCAATTACTTGGACTATTGCCTAGTTCACCTATTATTTTTTACTGGTCTTAGAAACTATTTTGTAAGAGAAATAGATACAAAGAAAATAACTCATCTGTGATCAACCATAAGCTTTATGGCCTTTAGTGTTAGGGGGAGGGAGTGGCTGTTTTTCATTAATTGGTATATTATTACAGACTTAAAAGTTGAGCATGTCTCAGAGGACCTTTTATATTAGTAAAACATCAGTTTATATACATTTAAACTTTCATTTATAAAATCTTTTGCCTTATGATCAAATATAAAATTGAGATTGACTGGAAATGGTCATGAAGGAACTTGAACATGTGGAAGATGGAAATGTTCTTTATTTTGTTTGACATTTGTTGATTGTATCAACATATGCATAGTTTTCAAAATTTATCATATTACACTCTTAAAATCTATGCCACCTCACTGTATATAAATTTTACTTAGTTTAAAAAGTAAATGTAAATAGGTCCTGTTATTCTTTTGGAATGGGATACTTGGGGCCAGTTACTTAACATCTTCTATTTATAAAATTTTTATAGAGTATAATTTTAATCCTCACCTGAGGATATGTTTTTATTGATTTCAGAGAGAGAGGAGGGGAGAGGGGAAGAGAGAGAAACATCAATGTGAGAGGGAAATATCGATCGGTTGCCTCCCCTATGTGCCCTGACCAAGGGATCGAACCCGCAACCTGAGTATGTGCCCTGAATGGAATTGAACCTGCAACCCTTTGGTGCACGAGACGATGCTCCAACTGAGCCATACCAGCCAGGGCTAAACACTATAATTTTTTTTTTTAATTGTCACCTGAGGATATTTTTTCCATTGCTTTTCAGAGAGAGTAGAAGGGAGAGAGAGATGAAAACATCAATGTGAGAAAGACACATCTATTGGTAGCCTCCTGCACTAGCCCCCGAGGTGCCAGGGATTGAGCCTGCAACCGAGATACACACCCTTGGCTGGAATTGAACCCTGGACCCTTCAGTTTGAGGGCCGGACACTTGATAACCACTGAGCCATACTGGCTAGAGCTAAACAGTATAATTTTAAAGTGAATTTTATTGTAGGCAATTTTCATTGGTTATATTCTATAATTAAAGTAGCAACTATAGAACATTTTTTATTTTTTATAGAGAATAAAGATTCATTTTTTATTTTATTTTTTTGTATATATAAAGAATAAAAATTCATTAATTTCCTACTGATAGCAGATTTGCCTCTTGATATATGCTCCCTTAATCCCCAATAATGTTTTAAGTTATACACTTAACACTGTATGTTCTCATTTCAGGTTTACTATGCAAAAAAGAAGCGAAGGCACCAACAGGGCCAGGGAGACGATTCTAGTCATAAGAAAGAGCGGAAGGTTTACAATGATGGTTATGATGATGACAACTATGACTATATTGTAAAAAACGGAGAAAAGTGGATGGACCGTTACGAAATTGATTCCTTGATAGGCAAAGGTTCCTTTGGACAGGTAATTGAATGGAAAGTGCTGGATTTCATAAATTAGAACTTCTTTGTAAATGATGTTGTTACACTCTTTCCTCAGGAGTATACTTTTCAATATTTGTAAATAGATCTAGACAGTGGGTATATGTTTGGATTATCATAGTTCTCTAAAGATAGTGAAACTGTATCAGCTATAAAAGCCCCATCGGACCTTTTTTTCTTTACTTACTTTCTATGGCTACCAAGTCCTCATGTTACTAAGAGGTTGTTTTAATCACGAATATAGTACTGCCCCTTTCATATGTGTTTTGTGTAGTCTGTGGATGATTTTTCCTCATGAATGCTAGAGATAATTACCTTCCTGTCTGTTAGTCTTCTTCAAAGAGAAAAGAATTACTATTTTCAGCTGTCACTGCAGGTGCCCTCTCACTTTTTGGAGGCTTGGAAAGCCAGGGGCTGTGCCCTGGGTTTTTCTCTCACTTCATCTTCTAACTCTTGTCAGGCTCCTAAATGGGCAGATGGTCTTCAGGATTTTCCTCTTCCAGTCCTCACAACATCAATGTTGCTAATAGTGTGATGGGGTAATTTTAATGCTTTAAAAGAATCATTTGGGTATCTTCTACTGAGAACAACGAGGAATTCGGAATCCAAGGGACCTGCTTTTTTCTCTTCATTCCTGGCCTCTTCCTTTACTCACAGCTCTCCCTTCCTCACCTGCCCTCCCAGCCCCAGTACAAAGCACAAAACCCTAAATATAGGAGTCTTCTTTCATCAGCTGTGCCCAGATCATGAGCTAGCCAATCGTCTTCCTTGCGCTTTTAAAAAGCTATTTCTCTGACTGTGGCTCCCCCACCTCTTTGCACTTGGAAATTCTATCTCCCTGAGTCACAGAGCTCTGTTTTGTTTGAGGTGTGATTTACTATTAATCCCAGAATCCTTTGTTTTGCAACCTTTGTGCAGTGGGTCAGTCATTAACCTGCAGTCCAATTACTTCTGACTTTTTAATGATGAGGGTAGAAGGGGGTCTCAAAATGACCCTGAGCTACCTTAAAAATTTTTTTTGGTTCCTGGTTTTTTTGAACTATGGAACCTATATTCTTTTACTTGCCTATTCCTGCCTTGAGAGAAATCAACACATGCCTCCTTTTAACCCATGTGGAACAAATTCATCATTAGTCAGTCTAATCATGTATAGGACAAAAAGTATACTTGTAAGCAGTTAGCAGCCACAGGTCTAGACCCAGAAAAGTCATCTTGTAAGGAGATACGGACAGAGTTGTTAGAAGACCTCTGGAACTCCACTGTGGCTTTGCCAGGCCCTGATGTTACATTTATAATATGTCTGCCCTTTTCCATGATTTAAAAGAATTTTAGTGATTGTACATAATTCAGGGACTTTTTCCTCAATTTGAATCTCTTTTTCTTCTGAGTTGGAGATTTTTCAGTGTGTGTGGAGTCCCTCTTTATGAAAATGTAACTTTTGTCAGAAGCAGCTTGTGTTTCTCAAAGCTTCTTACGGAAAGGTGTTTCTGAGGCCCAGCTTTTAAGAAAGGTTGTGAACACCCTTGATATAAGGATTGCTGTCTACACCTTGAAAGTTACACCAACACTTAGGCAGTTGCTATCAACAGGATTTTCGGCCAAGAAACCTACTATCCAAACTTCATTTTCCCTAAATGCTTGGTCTCTGATCTCAGAGTGTTGTTTTCCTCTCTTTCATTTTAATTTTCTTACACTCTAATTCCTAATAAACCTGTGAAAATATAGGCTCCTTTGACATCAAATTTCATTTCACCAGGTCAGATTGATGCCTCTCTTCTATGCTGTGGTATGCTCAGGTTCAGGATCTGTCACTCACCAAATAATGTCCTCCATATCGACTTGGTCAGACTTTCTCTAAAGTCTCTGCCGCATCCTTGTTAAGTAAGGGGCTCCTTCTTCTTTAGCTGGTGTTTATCCTTGTTGTACATTGAGATTATGCTGGGGAGCTGGGCAGGGTGGGAGGACTGATGCTTAGGCTCCAAACCAGTTAAATCAGAATCTCTGTGACTGGATTCTGGGCATTGGTGTTTTTAAAAACTGCCTATTAAATGTGTAATTCAGGGTAAAAAACGATTGCTTTAGCATTTAGCTGGTTAACTATTTGCTAAGTCAGTAAATAGTTGGGCCTCTGTTAATGGCCTTTGTCCTGGAGACCAGTGGGACCTGGGCACTGAACTGAAACTCTTGGTGCAGTTACTATAGTCAGTGAAAACCACTTGGTCAGGTGTTTACATGAGTAGCCCCTGACTTAAAAAGACAGTAGATAGTATTTTTTAGAATTGGGTGGAACTAGAGAGATACCCCGTCTCCCGTTCCAAGTTTGATTTCAGCTGAGCTGTTTATACTCATCATTGACAATATATTTAACCTGACTGATGTAAATCTTGGCACCTACATTCCATTTTCTTCCTCTAATCCAGTGGTGCTCAACCTACAAATTGGAATCATTTGGAATTCTACCTGCATCTCCAGACTTTCTGAATGAGCTAAATAGTGTATCTAAAGTTATTACCTATTCAGATTATGTATAATATTATAAATACAGTTTGTTTAATCAGTTATAGTTATTTCTGATTGGTAGACATAGTTTCTTTTATCTATATTGATTTCTTAGTTTTTATGCCAGCCTCTTTGTTAGTATGAAACTCATTGTGCATGGTGATTTAGTCATGAATACCCCTTTCGTTAGCACTGATTTTCATTTTAAAACTATCAAAATCCTCTAATTACTACATTCATTGTATACAGGGGTGGGCAAAAGTCGGTTTACAGTTGTGAGTACACGAAACAGAGTTTATTCTTGTATTATTTATTAATTATTGTGCTATTTTCCTTAAGAACAACTGTAAACCCACTTTTGCCCACCCCTGTATTGTGGAACTTCCCCAGTAATTTGTATTTGACTTTTTTAGCATAAACTAATTTTTCTTTTATATACCTATGTTTTTATCTATGAAAATCTAAATTTAAAATTAGAAAGTTATCTGCATTTTTCAGGTGACTTAGAACTTTTTAAATATTTTCCAATAATGGGATTTAAACAAGTTTTTTTTCCTCATTAAAAGAATAGTTGGAAGAATTGTCTTGCCTTATTATTTAGTCATAAAGATGAAAAACAAAGCACTTACTAAAATTCATAATTTACTTTTGAAGCTAGAAAATAGTTCATCCAGTTTTGTTCATTTTGTAGATATTTAGAAATATTATAAGGATGCAAAAGAAATTCAGTTGAAAAGATTGATTTAAAGTGATTGTAAGTAAATGGATGATATTGAATGGAAAGAAATAGGATCTCTTCTAAGTAGGAATGTCATAAAATGAGTTAGGTAAATGTACAATTAAGGTGAACTGTAAACTGCTGAATGAAATAAAGAATTATTCCTCTTCCCTCCCTTTCAGGTTGTAAAGGCGTACGATCGTGTGGAGCAAGAGTGGGTCGCCATTAAAATCATAAAGAACAAGAAGGCTTTTCTGAATCAGGCACAGATAGAAGTGCGGCTTCTTGAGCTCATGAACAAACATGACACTGAAATGAAATACTACATAGGTAAACAGACAGGCAGGCAAAGCACTGTGTCCTAATCCAGACCATACATTTGAGTTAATGGTTATTTTTGTATGAAAATAGGTTGATTTTATCTTAAAGTGATTGACTAAAAATGCAACTGTTTATTTCTGTTGGAGGGCCTGGATTTATGTGTTACCTGATCTGGTAGTAATATTCTAAGTTTTTGGGTCTGTGCATTCCAAGTGACATACAATTTAGAAACAAACGAGAATAGTGTCCTTTTTGGGGGGTGGGGGTGGTGGGGGGGGATTTAAAAGTGCCATTTGTTTGCTTTAATAGTGCACATTTATCCAGAGTCCTTTAACCAATTCTAATATAGATCAGAAATTAGAAATAAGCTAGTATGTACTTAATTGTTATAGAACCATTTTTGGAATGTCAGAATCAAGATCTCAGGCCCCTCGCCAAGGCTGTTTGTCAGTTTGGCAGCATTAGAAGATGTTGGGCTTATTACAACAGAAAAGAGATAGTAGCTACCATTTATTGAACTCCTACCATATCCTTTGTGCTTTTCTTCCGTCCTCTGTGAATATCATAGCAGTCCTATAAGGAAGGTGGTAGGATCTTTATGGCACAGATGGTCTGTATAAAGAGTAACCACACCCAACGTCCCAGGGCTCTGGAGATAGGATGTGAATCTACCTGTGCCTAACTCCAGAGTCTGCGTTTGTTATGGTGTTTCTTCTGAAAACAGAAAGAAACAGAAAAATTAGGAAAATAGTGAAGTGTAAGGCCGATTGGTATATGCAAAACATAATTATACATTCTTTAATACTATTCTTAATCTAAGATGGCAGTGATTGTGAGACACTAATATTTTATGTACCACCAAGAAACAATTGCTGCCAAGTATAAATATAAGACGCTATCAATTTTATGATAGAGACCTTAAAATCAATTAATTATAGAAGTTCCTGTAGCTATGTATACATAGCAACTTATGTTCAGAAATACTGGCTTTATCTGATAAACATGAGGTTAAATTTTATTTAACAAGCTCCTTTTTAAGAAAACAAGGGAGGACATTATGGTATTATTGGTTCTTTAATCCCCCCAAAGTGGTAGAAACAAAAGAATGTATGTTTAAAGGTATATGGTTCAGATACTCAGATTAGATTTCATTTATGAAACACCTTCACTCCCCATTGTACAATAAAAAGCTTATGCTATTATTTTTTCTTCCTTAGTTTCTTCTCTTTAGATATCTGATATAATCCATAGTAATAACATTAGCATTTAAAACCTTTTTTCGTCACACTTACTGAACATACGGTGTTCACTGTGATGATAACTTAGTATAAGGGGGAGCCCATTTCCATTCATGGGGCTTTAGAAGTATAAGAAGTATGTTCTAAGGATGCTTGACTAAATGATCTCTGGACATGCCTTCCCCCTTCTAACTCTTGGGTGTTGTATTTTGAATGTTTGCTTAAGTTGAAAGAAAATGTTAATACATTGTTGTAACATTTTAACTCTGCTTTATTTAAAGAAATCATGGTAGGCATATAGTAAGTACTCAGTAAATATTAGCTACTCAGTTCTTACAACGATGATCATTTTTGTTTTTGGTAACCTGATGAATGATCATTAATTGTGTAAGACATTACACATATTCTTTTGGATGAGTTTTTTAAGTTCTTTTAGGAGAATGAGTTTTTTAAGTTCTTTTAGCAGCAGTGCCTCAGGAAACTGAGGTTCTGTATTGGAAAATGACAAATAAAGAACTTTAGAATTAGACACAGACATACCAGTAGAGTTGATACCTTAAATTTAAGGTGTCTGAAAGTTCTATTGCTGTTTTATGATGTAAGTAATTTATTTATATTTGGAATTGATTGATCAATATAGCTCACTCAGATGAGTTTTTAGTCTTAAGTCTTTGAACTCTTAAAAAATCTCCTTTACCATCTAGCATAATTTCTTACTTGGATTATCTGGTACCTGCCATGGTCTAGTTAAAAGAAAATTCAGTTTAAGTCTAGAACAAAGTCTTGCTTACCTTCAGTCTATTCTCCCTAAAGTTTAGTTAAAAAGACTACACAAATATAGTTGTGTTTGAGCATTCTTTGACAATGTCTTTGGTGCTCAGCACATTGCAGATACTCAGTAAGTGAGTACTGAGTAGGGAGGTCAAGTGGAGCTGAGTGGATTGATCTTCCATTAGAAGCATTCTAATCACAGAGCTTCTTAGAGGGATTTTCATAATCACACTGGAATTCTGACATCAAATACCTTTTGCATTCCTTTTGAAGCTACTGCCTACCCATATTAAAACTCTTGCATGGATTATGTCTGTAGGTGTCTTACTGTCACATGGAGCAGTGTTTTTAGTTATAAACCTGTGAACTTCAGTGATTAAGAGCAGATGTTGTTATACATTTTTATGTAACTTTGAAGGATTCTTTTTATTTACAGAGTGTTGGTTTGTACTGTACACTCCTATAGAATCAGGTAGTATTTGTAGTGAGTTATTTATTCTAATTTTAGATTGTATCAAGAGTGATCTAAAAACAGTATCGTTACCAGGACAACTCAATATATCCCTATCCTCAGGGACCAGACATTGAATACTGTCATAGGTTGTTCCCGATAGGTCTGTAGAGAAGCTGCTTTTATGATTCTAGAAGATCAAAATCGGGTATCCTTGACAAATGGTGGTTCTGTGCCACTCCAGTTGAGTTACAGTAAGGTGCTCAGTTTGGTATATGTAAGAATTTTTAGAGTGAAGGGTAGCACTTCATTGAATGACCTCATTTGATGTGAAGTCAGTGTTAATACGTAAAGCACAGTCTTTGAAGTAATTTAGCGAATATTAAGCCTTTATAGAGGGTGACTCGTGGTAGCAAGTGATGAGTTCTCTGCTCTCTCCCTATTCATAAGCCTGCTTAAAATTTCTTCTTGTAATTGAACTTGATTTTGAAGTTTTCCCAAACCTTCGGTGTTGCACAAGATGTCCCATGTACCAGTTTGATTAACATAGTCAGATAGCTGTGATTATAAACTCTATACCTTCCAAAGCATGATTTTCAAGCATTGGCTATATTTATTTAAAAAAAAAAAATCTGCATCTTCCTTTGACAGTTGTTACAGAAAATTACTAGTGAAATCTAAGGCTCAGCAAAGCAGATTGTGTATATATGTGAAAGTCTTCCCAGAAAGGGCTCCCCAGCACAGAATTGCCACAGACCGAAGATGCTGGGGGTGGAGCTTAGACAGACCGAGTTGTGAGGCAGGTGATCAGGAGGTAAAGGTGCTTTCTCTCACAAGTGAGGGCTATTACTGCGGTATTCTCAGGACTGTTCCTCAAGGTGCTGCTTATGTTCTTTGACCTGACTTATATTTTTTAAAAACAAGGCAGTTTCTTGGTACTTCTTACATTATATTGCTTATTGGCAGACACTGGACCTGTTTAATTCAGCAGAGAACAATTTAGCTATTCTTAACTGATTAAAGAATTTACTGTTAGTGCAGAATGCTGATTTCCAAATTTTAATTTGATTTTCACTCTGCATTTGACATTGTAATGTAATAGATTGTCTGAGAGTTTATACATATGTTATTCTCATTTTATTGGTTTATGTATAATTTAAATTGAAACTCTTTTCTCTTTCAGTGCATTTGAAACGCCACTTTATGTTTCGAAACCATCTCTGTTTAGTTTTTGAAATGCTGTCCTACAACCTCTATGACTTATTGAGGAACACCAATTTTCGAGGTGTCTCTTTGAACCTAACACGAAAGTTTGCACAACAGATGTGCACAGCACTGCTTTTCCTTGCGACTCCAGAACTTAGTATCATTCACTGTGACCTAAAACCTGAGAATATCCTTCTTTGTAACCCCAAACGCAGTGCAATCAAGATTGTTGACTTTGGTAGTTCTTGTCAATTGGGACAGCGGGTAAGTACATTTCAGGAGCTGTGAATTAAATAGAATTAGGTAAAAATAGTGTCAGTAGATATGTGAAATGTTATTAATGTGTATACAGTGTGGAGGTAATTACAGGATGGTTATCTTTAAAATGTAGGATTGAATCATATTGTGTTGATGCCTGTTTTGTGGAAATACCTTTTAAAATGTGAGTAGTAATACTTTGAATTGGAAGGTATTTATTTTTCAGAGTGGATTTTTAAAAATTATATGTATGCTAAAATACTGAGAATAGGAGAGGAGTGAATTAAATATTAGGTGATTTGTAACTGTATTTCTCAAATAGAGGTTTAAGTATAAATTTGGGGAAATTCTAGTACTAGAACATTGAATCATTACTATAAAATATTTCTCTAAAGATTGTATGGGTTCAGTTGATTGTGTGTCGTCCCATGCACACAGAAAAGTTGCTGATTCAATTCCCGGTTAATAGCACATGCCTGAGTTTCTGACTCAGTCTCTCCTGTAGGGGACGTGCAGGAGGCAGCCAGTCAATGTTTCACTCTCTCATCCATGTTTTTCTCCCTCCCTCCCTCTCCTGTCTTTCTAAAATCAATTTTAAAAAGTATTTAAAAAAAAGATAGGTCAAGATAAATGTTTTTCCTCAAAACTGGATGGTTAAAAAAAAAATGCAGGTAAATTCGCATTGTATGTGGAAAATATGGTATAGAAATTACACAGTTGATAGACATACTTGGTTTGATAAATTAAAAAAAAATTTTCTTACATAAATTCTTGTCCAAACACTTGTCCAAATTGGTTTTCTTCAGATTGCTAAAAACAGACATGTCTGTAGCAAAAAATAGATTTAGGTTTAGCTGATTTAGGAAAGGAAATTTTTCCTACCTTTTTTTTTTTTTTTGGTAGCATGATTTCTAGCATTACTCAGAACAGCGTGTTTTAAGTGTGAAATAGAAATTGTAGGTGTTCTCTTCTTGAAAGGAGTTAGGATCAACATTTGATATTTTTCTCATTTTAAACACTGTTGAAATTGCGTTTCTTTAAAAAAAAAAAAAAGGAAAAAACACAGCTAACATTTACGTATTAATATTTTATACTGGCTTTTTCATTTCCTCTTTCTTCAAATTAGTGAGATTTCCTGTCCTGTCCAACTATTTCCTGGGTTTTAAATATAACAGGTTAATCTTGAAGGTATGTAGCCAGCTAACAGAATTGTCCGACTTTTTGTCATTTTCTGCGAATTATCTTACGGCAGCAGTGCTATATAGATCACTGAAATAATTTTTTAAAGTTGGAGGCATAGCCCAGCCTGTTGAGTGTCAACCCATCAACCAAGAGTTCTCTGGTTTGATTCCTGGTCAGGGCATGTGCCTGGGTTTCAGGCTCCCTTCCCCTGCAGGAGGGGGTGGGGCGTGCAGGAGCCAGCTGATCGATGTTTCTATCTTTCCCTCTCCCTTCCTCTCTAAAAATCAATTAAAAAACATACTTAAAAAAAAATAGAAGGCATAGAAAGCAAAGTTTGCAGTTTCAGATGTCTCTGAAAATCAGGAGATGCTCATAGTTGTTCATGTGGGATAAAGTATGTATTGTGACTGGAAAATACGTGCCCATTTTGAGAGTTATTTAAATAGACTTGAAAATTTTTTCTCTGTTTTAACCAAACCATGTGTTCAGTCGTAATGTTGAGCACTACAATCTTTCTCCAGCCAACTGAGACAACTATCCCTTTAGCTTATTGAGTTTTAACCATGTGAATGTATGAGAATCACGTGGGAAGTCATTTCCAAAATACTCATGCAGTGGCTGTCCCCAAGATCTCTTGGCTCAGTGTCAGAAGGTGGCAGGGTAGGTGTGTTTCAGAAAATGTTCCTCGGGATTCTGGTGCACAGCCTTGTAGATGACCCAGTCACCACGTTAACCAAACTACATGGGAAGTGACAGACTAATTTGTGTCAGGTGGGAAATAAGATAATCTCAGTAGCAGGTAGTCTTTGAGGCCTAATGATGATGTTGGGTTATACAAACTGAAACATAATAGTTTTTCCCTGTCTCTTGATTTAGACTTTCTTTTCTGAGAAGGCCTTGAAGTTGGGTTGACTTGCTTATGGAGCATGAGATTACTCTTGGAGATTTGGCTGTAGTTTTAGGTGGGAGCCATAGAAACTGGTGAGAAAGCAACACCACATTGCTAGCAGCCTTGTTTGAGTGTCCACTTAGTGTAGTTAGGAGGAGGGTTTTATTTCTTTCTCTTTTTTCATAAAACTTTGCTTTGCTAATATTTCTAGATACAAATTTACAATGGCTAACTGAAGATGAATTGGTTTCTCAAGACATTTTCAGATTACTTCATTGAAAACAACCCATTTCAGTATTTTGTTTTCCAAGAAGTCTTAGATTGAGGTGGGAGGGACAGGTCAGAGAAGTGATTAACCAGAAACAACTCCCGATTGAATCTTTATATGGCAGTGTTTCTAGGATTTATCTGTGATACTAGTGTAGTACAGATGTCTGAATTTTCCATTACATTGTACCTAAGTTAACCTAAAGAAGGTTAACTTTATAAATACAGTTCAGCTGTTAAATCTACCAAGTGCCAGCCACAGCAACAAAGAATAATTAATAGGGAAACAAATTATTCTTAATAATATTTTCTTGTAATAAGGCATAATTGTCTTAAGATGTATCTTGATTACCAATTAGAATTGGACTAAATGAAAAAGGACTTGAATTTTATATAGTTTGCATTTCACAGGCGGATTAGCTACCCTTTGGATAGTTTTTTGTGTGTTTTTAATATGTCTTCATTGATTTCAGAGAGAGGAAGGGAGAGGGAGAGAGAGATAGAAACATCAGTGATGAGAGAGTCATTGATCAGCTGCCTCCTGCACGCCCCCCACGGGGGATCGAGCCCGCAACCGGGACCTGTGCCCTGACCAGGAACTGAACCTCAATCTCCTGGATCCTAGGTTGATGCTCAACCGCTGAGCCATGCCCAGCCGGGCTTTGTAGTCTGTTTTAGAGATCATGAAATGGAATCCTAATTTAGGAGTTAGCCAGTTATTTTTTTCTGTTAATATTAGATCAGTGTTCTTAATCCAATATTGACTACAATTAAACAAAACTTAGTTTGGAATTAATACTATTTTGAAATGTATTTCAGATATACCAGTATATTCAGAGTCGCTTTTACCGGTCTCCAGAGGTGCTACTGGGAATGCCTTATGACCTTGCTATTGACATGTGGTCCCTTGGGTGTATTTTGGTTGAAATGCACACTGGAGAACCTCTGTTCAGTGGAGCCAATGAGGTATGTGGTGGATTGCTTTGAAAATTCTCTTTCTGTTTTCATAATTTCTTTTTGTTTTCAGTGTATGACAGTGGAATCTGAAAGTTGTTTTTAGGAAAAGATGTCTATTTACCAGTGTAATCATTCAAATGTTAAGGTGGTTTTGAATTTATATTATCCATTTTTTCAATTATTATATAATGGTGAGGTGAGAAGTGAGATCTTTTAATCTGCTAACAAAGGAGAACAATAAAGCAGATAAGAAAACGCTGAGTACAGATCTTAAATATTTTAAGTATAACAACGAGAGATGATAACAAAGGCATGAGGGCCACCCTGGGTGGCAACAGTGTAAACACGCTATAAATTTTGAGAGTATGATTTGGAATTACAGATGTGATGACCAGTAGGGTTGAGGAATATTCAGTCTGAATAATTTAGGGTACATTAATATTAGAGAATTTTAGAGCTATAGACTGTGTGTAATTCTTCTAGTCCACAGGTATTCTCTCTGTCTGTGTTCTTAGAAGATTTTTGAAGGTCTGAGGGCAGTACCTGGGAGGGCGGGGAGGGGCCAAGCTCCCTAGCAGTCAGAGGAATTGGGCTTTCATTGGCGTTCAAGCTATTCACTGGGGGTAGTAAAGGGTAAAGGGGTTCAAATATATAGTGACGGAAGGTGATTTGACTTTGGGTAGTGGGCACACAATGCAATATAAATATCATGTATAATAAAAATGTACACCTGTATAATCTTATTAGCCATTGTCACCCCAATAAATTTAATTTTAAAAATCTGCCTCCTTAAAAAAAGAACTGTTCACGTGTTTTTTATTTTTAAAGAAAACTTAACCATTGCAGCTCTTAATCAGTTCATTCATTTATAAACGAGAAAAGACCAACAAAATTTAATGACTTGTATTGGGTTATACAACTGTTAATAGTTAGAGCCACTATTTGGCAGTAACTGCGTGTTTGTTTTTGTTTTAATATAAATAATATTACTGTAAGTTAGTATCTTTTCATGGGCTTAAACGATATCAGAATCACCTGAAACTTTAGTGGCTTCCATCTCTCTCTTGTAAATGCAAAAGTCCTTTGAGTAGATCGGAAACCCCTTCCTTCCTCTGACTTCTGTCCTCTCTTTCCTACCTGTCTCATCCTTGTCTCCCCTCACTTTTTCTGAGCCAGCACACAGCCTTCTTTGGTTTCCTGGAAGCAGTAGCCACAGGCCCATACCAGGGCCTTTGCACTTGTTTTTCCCTGTGCCTGAAATGCTCTTTCTCCAGATAGCACTTGGCTTCTTCCTTCACTGCCTTTCGGTCTTTGCTCTCCTGTCACCATCTTGTAACACCTTTCATGACACCTTGTTTTAAGTTATACTGCCCTTTCTCCCTCCCCATCCCCTTTCACTTTCCCCATAGTTCATAGTTGTCATCTGACGTAATATATTCATGTGTTCTTTTATTGATCATCTCTTCCCCTGTAATACAAACTTTTTGGTAGAGAGTTTTGTCTGTTTTGTTTACTGCTATATTCTACTGAATATGGTTTTTAGCATATAGTAGACTGGGTATTTGAATGAATCTACACTTAAAAAGTAGTTTATTAAATCTACACTTTATTAAGCCCCTGGGATTTTTTTCCCCCCGATGGTTGTTTAAGTAAAACCCTAAAAGCTTAAACATTTAAAACTCCTTCCAATCCTTTTTCTCCTTTGTATCCATGACCACCTGACATAACACAGGTTTATGTGTGTGTTTGTTTAATTGTCTGCCCTCCCCTCTGAAATGTTGGGCTTCAAGGATGGCAGGGACTTTTACCACTTTTGTTCATATTGTATACTCAATGCCTAGAGGAGTGCGTGGCACACAGGAGATGCTCAGTTTACTTACTTATAACTTATGAATGAGTGAATGAATTGATGAGCAGAAGTAAGATGTACTACTGTAGAAATTACAGGTTTTTTGTTTCTGTTTTTAATACAGGTAGATCAGATGAATAAAATAGTGGAAGTTCTGGGTATCCCACCTGCTCATATTCTTGACCAAGCACCAAAAGCAAGGAAGTTCTTTGAGAAGTTGCCAGATGGCACTTGGAACTTAAAGAAGACCAAAGATGGAAAACGGGTAAAATAGGGAAACATTTCTTGAGCCTTTGTTATTTCTCACTGGAGCTGTCTTTTTTTTTTTTAAACATATCTTTATTGATTTCAGAGAGAGGAAAGGAGAGGGAGAGGGAGAGGGAGAGAGACAGCAGCATCAATGATGAGAGAGTCATTGATCGAGCCCACAACCCGGGCATGTGCCCTGACTGGGAATCGAACCCCGATCGCCTGGATCCTAGGTCGATGCTCAACCGCTGAGCCACGCCCGGCCGGGCTGGAGCTGTCTTTTTATAGCTCAGTTTGTATTTACTTGAAATCAGTGTTAGAGTTAACAGTTTCTATAATTTAGGTATATAATTTCTTCAAAAGCTGGATATAGTTTGACCTGAAGTGTCTGTAGGGACCAGTGTTTGCTTAATGGTCAGAGTTCTGTCTAAGACTTCATTATGACAAATGTTTATCTGCCTTTGGAGACAGCTGATCAAATCACCATGCTTTGTTTCAGCAGTAGAATCAGTAAGTTTGACCTTTGTTTCTCACAACTTGGGTATATAGTGAATTCACAGTTAACAGTCCTGCAGCTGTGAACAGTAGCAGTCATAATTGCAGTAAATGGCTTTTTAAGTTCAGATGGAAGAAAAAGATTTTAGACTTAAGCGATATGTGACAAGAATATGAACCGCCTAGATGGTTCTTGGATTGATTTTATATTCCTAGCTTGATGACATGGATAGCAGGAATTTCACATCTCTAAAATCTTTAAAAGTGAGGTTTTAAAACATTAGGTTTGTTTTAGTGATTTTCTTTTATTTGAGAACTTTTTTCAGATGCCTGAACTATTGTCAGTTTAATAGAGTGATGGCAGTTTTACATGTTGATTTACCTTTTTGCTTTATATATCTGAAAATAATCATGTATATTTGTAATCTAGCTTGTTTTGTTATAAAATGAATAAATAGGTGATTGATATGTATAACAGACACCTTGTGATTGTAGTTTCACATTTTTAAAATTTAAGATATTTTAGTTTTTATTTTGCCCTTGCATTTTAGTGATGCTGCCACCACATGTTATTTCCAGGGAACTGAAGATTATTGTTGTTTGCTTTAATTCACCTTCATATAGCTGTGGAGTCTTCATGTTTAATATCAAGTGATTTTCTTTAGAATATTTAAGAATATATATGTAATTGTATCTTTTACAACTGATTTGTAACATTGCATTCTGCCTTCTCTAAAGTTCCAGGCAATGCAATATCCGGCAGCTAAATTATACCTACTCCCCATAAGGAAGGGATGGAAAATTCCAAGCAGACATCCTGAGTCCTTTTGCCTTTGTTCACATAGCTTATCAGTCATGGCCCCTTTTCCCACTGAACCAAAAACCAGCCTGGGAATCCTTCTTAGCTTCACCAACATTCAAGGTAGCTCCTACCAGTTGATTTTAATTAGCATGGAGGATATGAAACCTACTTCATGTTTTATCTCTCTGCAGTACAGGCTACTACTACTTTCTCCATTTTGAAATTGTCTTTTTTCTTATGCTATTTTTGTTCTTTTTCTAAATAAAATGTTCATTCCATCCTATTTCCTAAATCTCTATCTTTATACAACCACAGCTAAATCACTATGGGCTGTAACCTGTCATTTCTTCCCATTTGAGCTATAATCATTATTATTTTTAATTATTTTGGGGGGCAGCATTTCATAAAAGAGTAGACAAATCTTTTCCCTTCCTAAAATTAAAAGTATCTTAACCTATAATTAACTAGATTTTTATGAGATTTTCTGTAGCCACAATTAGCAACTGACTTAAGAAACCTAATTTTTAAAAGTGTAAAGTAACTGTTTCTCTTTGAACAGAAATAAATTTTGTAAAACAAAAACCCCACAAATCTGCAAATCTATAGCCAAATGGTTACGTTATGAAGGATATACAGGAATTTCAACCATAAGTATAAATAGATGTGCATGTACTACCGTTAGGTATCTATCTGTGCAGTTGATTTTCTTAGTGATTTTATTTTTACTTCTAATTTCTCATTATGTTTCAAGAGCCCATTTTACCTTCCTAGTAATGAAATCCATACCTACTATATTCCTTTGGTGAGGAAGGGAGATGAAGAATTAAGACTATAAATGGTGCTGTTTTGTTAAAGTATAATTTATATACAATCGAGCATAAAGTGTTTTGTTTGTTGAGTTTAAATCTTTATATGCAATGTATCTACTACCTAAGACAAGATACACAGGTATGGTCAAAAGTAGGTTTACAGTTGCATTGTGACATTCTTTTAAGTTAATAAAGCTGTTATAATAATCATAACCTGTATGTATTTTTCTATATGAATACCTATAAACCTACTTTTGCCCCCAAAGTTTTCTCATGACCCTTTCTCTCATCTCACTCACCCTGCTTTCTGATTTCTATCATCATAGGTTAGTTTTGCCCATTCTAAGCAAAATTCTTGTAACTGGAACTCTGTAGTATTTATTATTTTGTGTCATTTTACAAACATTGTTTTTGGAGATTCATTCATATTGTATGTCTCAGGAGTTACTTTATTGCTTTATAGTAATTATTTCATTGAATGGAAATAGCATAACTTATCTATATTTACCTGTTGATGGATGTCTGGTCTTTTTCCATTTGGGATATTATTATTAAGGCTACTGGAAACATTCTTGTATAAATCTATTGTATATACATGTTTTCATTTCTGTGGGTCACTACCTAGAAGTAGAATTATTGTTAAGTTACAGGGTATATGTGTGTTTACATTATACTAAACAGTACTCTGGAGTTTTATCATTTTACATTCCTACAGCACGTGAGGGCTTCAGTTGCATGCCATCCTCACTGTTTAATGTAGTTGTATTTTTATTTTTATTTTAGCCATTCTAATGGGCATGTAGTGGTTTTCATTTGCATTTCCCCATAGCTAAGGATACTGTTCACCTTTCATACGTTTACTAGCTATCATGTCTTCTTTCGTGGCAGTCTTTCCATTCTTTTGTTATTGGCTTGTTTAACTTTTGAGTTGTAGATGTTCTTTACACATAATGGATATAAGTCCTTTGTCATATATATGTCAGTATTTTTTCCCAGACTGTGGCTTGCCTATTTCTTTCTTTCTTTTTTTAAAAATTTATCTTTATTGCTGAAAGTATTACAGATATTCCCCTCTGTTCCCCATTGACCCCCTTCTTCCACTTGCCTATTTCTTAGGGGTATCTTTTAATGAGCATATAATTTTACTGTTGATGAAATAAAATTTGTCAACTTATTTTATGAATAGTATCTTTTGTATTTTGAGAAATCTTGGCCTTCCTCAAGTTTGTGAAGATATTCTTCCATGTATTCTTCTGAAAGTTTTTCTGATTCCAGCTTTTATGGTTAGAGTTCTGTGGTCCATCTTGAATTAATGTTTGAATATGAAATGAGGTAGAGCAGTTGAAGTTTATTTTCCCCAAATGCTTAACTAGTAGCAGCATCATTTGTTGAGAACAGTTGCCTTTCCCTATTGCATTCCTGTCACTTTGCACTATTGTCCAAAACAAATTATCTTTTATGTGCTAGTCTGTATTTGGATTCTGTTCTGTTCAATAGGTCTGTCTTTATACCAGTACCATAGTGTTGATTATAGCTTTGTGGTAAGTCTTGAGATCAAGTACAGTTGAGCCTTGAACAATGCAGGGGTTAGGGGTGTCGACCCCGCCATGCAGTTGAAAATCCGCATATAACTTTTGACTTCCCCTAAACTTGACTAATAGCTTACTGTTGACTGGAAGACTCTTAACTGATAACATAAAAGTTAATTATATACTGTATTATAATACAGTAAGCTAGAGAAAATAAAATGTTATTAAGAAAGTCATAAGGAAGAGAGAATACATTTATAGTACTGTACCATATTTATCAATATTGTAAGTTTACATTGTCTGTTTACAAGATGAATTGTCTGTCATTACCTACATCAATATTGTTCTGTATATTACAAAGTACTGTAGGTGTTATACGTATCACTAACACTAGACATCAAAAATCAAAAGACAGATTCATACTTTATAGGTCTAACAATTCATGCATTGATAACGAAGAAGCAGTGATATACAATTACTTCATGGTAGTCTAGCCTATAACTAATGAATGAATCATCATAAAATGTTTATGATGTACAGTATTACAATCATGTTTATGACACAGTATTGGAAACACATTTTTTTTTAAAAACCACTTACCTGTGATGATAAGCCGATATGTAGTTTGTCCAGTTATGAGAGAGTCATGCCATAAGGTAATGTAATTCTTTGAAAGCAAAGTTACAAAATACATTATTTTGTATGAAATAGTACTCACCTTACACCTCTATAAAGATAGGCTGTCCACTTCCATATAAGTCTTGCACACGATGTTTTACACGGTGAATACTTGGTGATGATCATGATGACACGAACGTCTCCCACAGTTCTTGCCATAGATTTAGTAGATTTTCACATGAAGACACACATACACAATAGATAAGTTTATTAAGTGTCCTTTGTCATGATTGTTTACTGTTCATTAAGTGGAAGTAGGTTATCGTGAAGGTCGTCATGCTGAGTAGACGGAGGAGGACTTGGTCTTGCTGCCTCTGGTGCAGGGGCGGAGGAGGTGGAGGAGTGGAGGGGGGAGGCAGGATGGCAGGCAACTCGATGGAACTTTATGGAAATACGTTGGAATTTCTGTCTGGATTTTTGTTTTTTTGTGTTTTTTTTTTTCTTTTTTCTTTTTTTTTCATTTTTCTAAAAATGTTTCTATATTGTAGAAGGGTCCATGTTGTACAAGAAGTCAGAAATAGTCTTGAATAGTCAGAACCCTTCTACAGATTGTCTAATGTCAGTGTTTTTCTGGCACTGCTGCTGCTTCCTCACTGGTTTGGAAGCACTCATCTCCATCAGCTCGTCTTCTCTTCCTTCCTCTGGTGCGGCCTCTTGGCTCTTGAATTTCTCCAAGATCCATATCTTGAAACACTTTTACCCCTCCACTCCACCCCACTTTTGTGGGTTTTTTTTGCCATATCTCTTATGAGTGACAGCAGTGGTCTTTTGCAAATTTTTACATTATAACTAGAAGCAAAAATCCAGTAATTCTATTTTGAATAAATTCAGTATTCATAGGGATTTTAAGGGTTATACTATTATCTATTAAACAGTGAGTTTCCAGAAAATCTCAACACATGTTAAGGCAATTTATTATTAAACATTTTCTAAAGGGAGGCATCAGTGAAATTTGCTTTTAATTTATCTAAACATGAGGAGGTAGGGCTAGACCATGATTCTTTACTTGGAGCACATTTGGCATGATCACCACAGCTAACGCCACTGTCACTCAGGAACGGCACCCAAGTTGTTGGGTGCATCAGGCAGAGAAGAGGCTCAGAACCATTGTGCTAGAGCAGAGTCTGCACACTTTCATTTTAAAGGACCAAGTTAAGATTTTCACATGAAGACACACTGGTCATCTGTTCTGGTCATAGTTTGTTGACCCCAAGGCTAGGTAATCTTCATAGTAATTTTTGGTCTCAAGATTATTTTGCATTTTTCTAACTATAGCACATTCGGAAAAGTAATGTGTGAAAATATGTTGGAGGATCTAACTCAATCTAAAGTGTTTTTAGTAAAGGCCTCAACATGCAGTGTATTTTAGCATATTTGAAGTTAACTTATGTAGACTTGTACATATTCCATTCAACTTAGAGAAAGCTTTTTATCTTTCTTCTCTTCAGGAGTATAAACCACCAGCAACCCGTAAGCTTCATAATATTCTTGGAGTAGAAACAGGAGGGCCTGGTGGGCGTCGTGCTGGGGAATCGGGTCACACGGTAGCTGACTACTTGAAGTTCAAAGACCTCATTTTAAGGATGCTTGATTATGACCCCAAAACTCGAATTCAACCATACTATGCCCTGCAGCACAGTTTTTTCAAGAAAACAGCCGATGAAGGCACAAACACGAGTAACAGTGTGTCCACGAGCCCTGCGATGGAGCAGTCCCAGTCTTCGGGCACCACCTCCAGTACTTCGTCCAGCTCAGGTCTGTGCTTCTGATACAGTTGAGGCCTCAGAATGGGTACTGTCTTTACAAAGGGGGATTTAGTTTAAAGTGTTATTAAAAATTTGTTAATGGGATGGGGAGGAATTATTTTACCTAAATCTATTCCTTGTAGTTAGTAAAAATTTTGCTTTCCCCTAAGCTTTAGTGTTTACATATGTAATAAATTCTGCTTGGGAGCTGGAAACAAAACTCTTTATTAACCAGAATTTTTGGTTGTTTTTTAAATGGAAATACTTGGTCCACATGCTTGAGTTTTCCCCTAATGAAACCAAACTTGATCTATTTTACTTTAGTTCAGTGGTTGATATGAAAGAACTTGATCAGAGAATCTGGTGAACTGTCTCTTAACAGATTTTTTGTGTGACTCACTTTCAGTTTTAAGGTTATAGTTTTAGAATATAAGCTTGAACAAAACTAACTTTATAGTCATAAGCTATTTTGTTGTTGTGGTTCTTAAGGTGGGTCATCGGGGACAAGCAACAGTGGGAGAGCCAGGTCAGACCCAACGCACCAGCATCGGCACAGCGGTGGGCACTTCTCAGCTGCCGTCCAGGCCATGGACTGTGAGACACACAGTCCCCAGGTGAGCGCTGTCACTGCCTTGGTTCACGTCCCCTGCCGTGCTCAGGGTTAGCGGTATTGGGTGCTGAGTGCCTTTAGAATGATTGTTGTACTGTCTAAAGGTTCATAGCTTCCTCACTTACAAAGAATTATAACTAAAGAAGCACATCCTTGCTAGGCCCTCCTTGTTTAGAAATAGTTAACATTTATTGGGTGCACACCAACCATTGCTGAAAATGTTTTTTGTTTTTGTTTTTTTTCCATCTTTATCTCATTTACTACAGCAACATTTTCAGCTTTATACTGTTTGGATTTTCATTTTACACTGAGAACTGAGACTTCATGGATTAAGTAACTTTCCCTGGGGTCACTGTCTTAGTGACTGTCCTCTGCCCCTACCTATGTTCAGTAGTCCCAGGCTCTCAATCAGATTGTGGCTTGATTTTTAACTCCACATTGTTTTTGGGGGTGGGGAGAGGCGTTGCTTTTTTGGGGGTTGGTTTTTCCCTTTTAGTTTTTTAAACTTGTTGAGGAGGATCTCATTAAATAATTTAAAAAAAATGAGGTGAAGCAGACATTATTAAGTACTTTTTGTAAAATAACAAATTAATTCACACAGAGCACTGCTTTTATGGTACTTTATAATGAGAGGCCAGTGTGTTATTTGAGCGAAGTAAAACTGAAGTTGTGGACTTTCACTCCCCATTCTTGAGACTGGGGCTCCAAATGCCACCAGAGAAGACCTCACACAGCAGATACGCTGTTACCACTGTTAATATTCACCAACCTCTCCTGGACAGTTGTCTATGCTTCTCAAGTCAGCTCATCTCTCTCCCATTCTCTAATAATTGTTTCAGACTTTTCTTAGAAACCTCTGGCCTCCCCTTCTCTGTTCCCACTCCTTTGTGTGTAAGGAAGCATTCCGACAGGAATGCCTCTCTCGGCCGGTGTGTACGTGTACCCTTGTCCGCTTCTCTCCCAGCCCTTTTCATTCGAGGCGGAGGTTCCGTCCTGCCTGTCCCCTGCCTTCCCCAGCACTTTGCCCTTCACTCAGCCTCTAGCTCCTATGGTGGCAGCCTTTCCTCCTCCCGTCCCCTTTCTTCCTGTCTTATCCCAGTCTCTCCCATCTGAAGCAAAAACTTTCCCTGCCTGTGTCTTCCTCACCCTACATTTCTGCTACCCGTGAGCTCTGTTTCTCTATTAGAAACTCCTCAGCCTGCTCTTGTTGGGCTGCCTCCCAACGCCAGGGGACCAGTCTTGTGGCATCACCAGTGATGGTTGTCGAGGAGTCCATGGACCCTCGGATGCTATTGCTTCTTTCTTCCTTCCTCACCCACCCCACAACGCAGGCATCAGCCTGCCCTTTCAGCACCTCCTCCTGCTGTCCTGGGCAGGATGCCGCCCTCTCCCCCCTTCTCTGACTCCTCTTGTGGGTCCTCTGCTGCTGCCACGTAAACGAGGCCTTTCTCCCTCCGCCATGCTCCTCGGGTGGAGCTCACCTGATCTTACCAAGGACAGCAGGTACATCTTTTGTTTCTTTTCTTTTTTTCTTTTTGTCCTCACCTGAGGATATTTTTTCCATTGCTCATCAGAGAGAGTGGAAGGGGGAGAGGGAGAGAGAGAAACATCGATGTGAGAGAGATTGCCTGCAACCGAGGTACTTGCCCTCGGCTGGAATCGAGCCCAAGACCCTTCGGTCCGAGGCCGGCCGACGCTCTAACCACGGAGCCAAGCTGGCCAGGGCGGCAGGCACATCTTGATGCGCGTCTTGATTTCTCGCCTCGCCTCGCCTTCACTCCTGAGCCCCAGGGCCTTTATTTCTAATAGTTTACGTATCACTGAAAGTCTCCACAATGTGATGCTGCAGATACAGCACAGGTACTGACTTCATCATTTCCCCTCTGCTGCAGCTTTTCTCCTTTGACTTACTGTTTGTACAGATGGCCCTAAATTTACCCATTTGCTCAAGCCATAGACCTGGGATAGGGAGAGAATCCTCGCCTCCACTTTCCCTTGTCCCTGCACAGACTCAGACAGTAAATTTAGGGTTCTAAGTATCCTGAATATGTTTTGATTTTCTCCACCTTGTCTCTAGCCTGTCTTACAATAAAGCATATTCTAACTGGTTTTCCGTGTCCGATTCCATTCACCAGTAACATTGTTCCCCTCTCTGCAGCCGAGTGAGTGTTCAGCAGAGCCATCTGGTCTGCCTCTCTTCACTGCTTAAACCAGTTTGATTTTCTCTTGTACTTAAAAAAACTTAGACTTCTTCCCAAGGTTACAGTGACTTTCGTTTTCCTCCCCCTCACTCCCGCTGGTCTTACTGGATTTTTCTGTTCTCTGAATATACCATGTTCTCTTTCCTATTTCTCACGTGTTCTGGGCTCAGCCTCTTTGTTTGGTAACTACTTTTTGTCTCCAGGTCTTAACAAATACCACTGCCAGAGGCTTTCCCGAATCCTCTAGGCAGAGTCCCCTGGGTCGACCACCTTTCCTTCTTGACTCCCTCCCTCTAAATCCTTAAGCACTACAAACACATAGCAGCATACCAAGAGCAACGTAAGACACGTGTATACTTCCCACCAGAAGTTAATATCTTGCCTTATTTGCCTCAAATCCTTTTTTATGTAATTTTTGAATAGTTGATATATTCACATGGTTAAAAAAATAAATTATATGAGAGGGGATTCAAGGAAGGCCTCCCTTTATGTCCTCTAGCCACCTAATTTCTAATGAATGTTGTTAGTTTTCTTTTTGCTCCTTTGAGGTATTTCATGCAAATATACAAATATATATGTATTTTCACCTAATTTTTGTATACCATTCACAGTTTCACATTTTTTTTTCCTCTCTTACATGTTTTACATATTTGTTTAATACATATTTTGGAGCTATTTTTATATTAGTGCATAGATAGCTTTTTCTTTGTATTTCATTGTTTAGATATTCCATAAGTCATTTCTGTAGTCCTCTATTAATGGACATTATGCGTACTTTAAATCTTCTTAATTTAACTTTTTTACCACTACAAGTTAAGTTGTAATAAATAACCCACACATGTCACGCCACACATATGCAATTTATCTGTGACATAAATTCCTGGATGTGAAATTGCTGGGTCAGAGAGTAATATGATTTGTAATTTTGATAGCTGTTGCCAAATTGCCTTCGCTATAGTTTTGCCAATTTTGTTTCCCACGCACAGAGTTTGAAGAAACAGTCAGTGTGATCACCTTTGGATCAATCAGAAATGAGAAATGCTGTTGGACAGAGTATAGTTTTATTTTACTTATTTCTTTTTAGGAATGAATTTGAGTAGCTTCATAGTTTAAGAACCCTTAGTATTTTCTGAGGACTTTCTCCCTATTTTTCTACTTGATTGTTTTCAGCTGTGTTTTTTGAATTTTAGTTCTCAGACCACCTTATTGAGTAAATACTTAACTGATTTGTGCTAGCTGCTATGGTAGAGACACAGGCTTCCTAGAGCTTATAGTGATACAGTAAATAAACAAAATTAATCAAATGAATAGAAATTGCAAATACCATTAACTGTTAAAAATAAAGATAAGGCAGGATAATATAGTAGAGAATGGCTATTTGTTGGGTGGGATGTACAGGGTGTCCCAAAAAACTGTATACACACTTTAACAGCTGATAGCCCAATTTTGAAAATAAAATGTATTTTAATAAACACTGCCTTTATAATTACACAAAGTGTGTGTATACATTTTTTTGGGACACCCTGTATTACTTCCAGTAGGCCCATCGGATAGTAGGTAGACCCCCCAAAATGTGATAGCTTAAAGAGTATGAAGTTCCTTTTTTATGTAGCAGTCCAGAGTAGGTATTCAAGTTAGTGACATGGCTCTCTCCTTATGTCCTGGGCTCCTACCATTTTGTGGCTCCTTTATCCCATCCCCTAAGTCCTAGTTTGCTGGATCCAGCAGGCAGAAGGACTTGGAAGTATTTTGTAGACCAGGTTTGGCCATGACATAGAAACTTCACATTCCATTGAGTAAAACTGAGTCACATGGCCATACCTAAGTACAGGGGAAGCCAGGAATTATAGTGCAGCCATGTGCTCAAGAAGGAGAATATCTTTTTTGTGGACAACTACAGCCTCTGCCACAGGAGTTGGGGCAACATTAGCAAGAGTGGTCGGGGAAGATTGTGTGGAACTGAAATGATGATAAAGAAGCATCCAAGCAGAAATTAGAAATCAGAGCATCCTAGGCAGAAGAGAACAGTGAGTACAGATGCTCTGTGGCATTTGAAAGACCCTGACCAGGTAGAGGAATAAAAGGAAGACCCTGTATGTATGGTTAGAACCCAGGTAGCAGGAAGAAGGATGACTAGAGGGAAAGGTTTGAGAAATGAGCATTGGCCAGATTGTGCAGACCATTGGATGGATTTTGGAGTATTTTGTTTTTCTAAGTGCAATAAGAAGTCATTAAAATATTTTAAATAGTGAAGTGATTGGATTAGTTTTTATATTAACTGCATTTTTCTTTTTACCTTTTGGCCCCCTTCAGCAATCCCTTCTGTCCCCCGCCTCTGGCAACCACCATTCTGTTTTCTCTAGCTATGAATTTGAGGTTTATTATTGCCTTTTTTTTTGGTTTTTGTTTGTTTGTTTTTTTAAGATTCCATATATAAGAGAGATCATACAGTATTTGTCATTCTCTGCTTATTTCACTTAGCATAAAGCCCTTAAGGTCCATCCATGTTGTTGCAAAAAGCAAGGCTTTACTCTTTTTAATGGCTAAATAATATTCCATTGCATATACACCACAATTTCTTTACCCATTCATCCATTAATGGACACTTAGGTTGTTTTCATATCTTGGCTATTGTAAATAATGCTACAATGATGGGAATGCATATATCTTTTTGAATTAGTGTTTTTGTTTCCTTTGGATAAATACCTACAAGTGGGATTGCTGAATCATAAGGTAGTTCTATTTTTAATTTTTTGAGGAACCTCTATACTGTCTTTCATAGTGGTTGCACCAGTTTGCATTCTTACCAACAGTACATAAGGGGGTTCTCGAGCATCTTTTTCTGGCCATTTGTATGTCTTCTTTGGAAAAACGTCAGTTCAGATATTTCTCCCATTTTTTTCCATTTTGCTGGGTATTTTTTGTGATTTTGCTATTGAGTTGGTGAAGTATTTTAAATGTATTTTGGATATTAGCATATGATGTGCAAATATTTTCTTCTATTCAGTAGGCTGCCTTTTCATTTTGTTGATGGTTTTCTTTGTTATGCAGAAGCTTTTCATTCTGATGTAGTCCCACTTACTTATTTTTGCTTTTGTTGCTTGTACTTTTTTGGTGTCAGATTTAAAAAAATTATCACCAAGACCTATGTCAAGGAGCTCTGCTTCTGTTTTCTTTTAGGAGTGTTACGGTTTTAGGTCTTATATTCAAATGTTCAGTTCATTTTGAGTTAATTTTTACGTATGGTGTGAGATGTGGTCAAAGTTCGTTTTTTGTTTGTTTGTTTGTTTTGCATGTGGCTGTGCAGTTTTCCCAGCACCATTTATTGAAGACACTGTTCTTTCCCCATTGCATATTCTGGGCTCCTTTGTCATAAATTAATTGATCGTATATGCATGGGTTTATATCTGGGCGCTCTCTTCTGGTCCATTGAAACATGTGGCTGTTTTTATTGCCATTACCATGCTGTTTTAATTACTATAGCTTTGTGTTATAATTTGAAACCAGGGTGTTGTAATGCCTCCAGCTTGGTTCTTCTTTCCCAAGATTGCTCAGGATATTCGAGGTTTGTTGTGGTTCCAAACAGATTTTAGTATTATTTGTTCCATTTTTTTGAAAACTGCCATTGGAATTTTGATGGGTATTTCAGTGAATCTGTAGATTGCTTTAGGTAGTATAGGTAATTTAACAATGTTGATCTTTCCAATTCATTTTCACTAATATCTTTCCATTTTTGTGTGACTTCTTCAGTTTCTTTCATTAGGGTCTTATAGTTTTAAATACACAAGTCTTTTACCTCCTTGGTTAAAATTATTTCTAGGTATTTTATTTAAAAAAAAAATTGATTTAAAAATTATTTATTGATTTGAGAGGGAGAGGAGGGAGGGAGAGAGAGAGAAACGTGGATTTGTTGTTCCACTTATTTATGCATTCATTGGTTGATTCTTGTGTGTGCCCTGACCAGGGATGACACCTACAACCTTGGCATGTTGGGAGGACACTCGAACCAACTGAGCTACCCGGCCAGGGCTGTTTTATTCTTTTTGATGCAATTATAAATGGGATTGTTTTCTTTATTTCTCTGACAGTTCATTATTAGTGTATAGAAATGCAGCAGATTTTTGTGTATTGATTTTTATGTCCCGTACCTTTGCTGAATTTGTTAATTCTAACAGCTTTTGATGTCTCTAAGGATTTTCTATGTATGTCATTTGCAAATAGTGACAGTTTTGCACCTTCCTTTCCAATTCGAATGCCTTTTATTTCTTTTTCTTCCCTAATTTGGATTTGTGTTTTAAAAAAGAGTTTTTCTTTTGACTTTTGGGAGAATATAATGGGAAAAGGCAAGGGTAGAAGCTGGGAGTTGATTGAGGAGGATGTTGTATTATCTCAGGTAAGAGATGATAGTTTGGAATAGTGTTTTGGTGAAGATGGACAAAAGTGTCCAGGCTGGAATCTAATTTGAAGGTAGTGTCAGTAGTATTGCTGATGGTTTGGATGGAGGAGTGGTTGAGCAGCTGGGTGGAAAGTAGTGCTTATATTGAAACAGAAGGATTAAAGACAGGGATCGTTGGGGCGAAGTAAAGAACTTTTGGACCTGAACAATATTAGCTGTCCCTTTCCTGAAGAAAATTTGCTTACCCCTGGCATAAACAGTGCTTCCAAGGAAAGAAAGTGGCCTGTGAAACATATGAGCCTGTTTATGGGTGAAACTTGCTAAAAATTGTAGCTTTCATAATAAAGTACCTTTCACTCTTGAACACATTCGGAATTTTGCATTGTAGCACTGTCTAACATGAGTTTGAAAACCTTCCTCTCTAATGTAAATGCTAGTGTTGTAGCTTTTGATCGAGAACTAAAACTTTGAACGGTACTCTCTATAAATCCTTTTAAAATCTGTTCTTGCAGGTGCGTCAGCAATTTCCTGCTCCCCTTGGTTGGTCAGGCACTGAAGCTCCTACACAAGTCACCGTCGAAACTCATCCTGTTCAAGAAACAACCTTTCATGTAGCCCCTCAACAGAATGCATTGCATCATCACCATGGAAACAGTTCCCATCACCACCACCACCACCACCACCACCACCACCACCACGGACAACAAGCCTTGGGTAACCGGACCAGGCCAAGGGTCTACAATTCTCCAACGAATAGCTCCTCTACCCAGGATTCTATGGAGGTTGGCCACAGTCACCACTCCATGACCTCCCTGTCTTCCTCAACTACTTCCTCCTCTACTTCCTCCTCCTCTACCGGGCAGGGCAACCAGGCCTACCAGAGCCGCCCGGTGGCCGCCAACGCCTTGGACTTCGGACAGAACGGAGCTATGGACGTTAATTTAACCGTCTACTCCAATCCCCGCCAAGAGACGGGCATAGCTGGACATCCAACATACCAGTTTTCTGCTAACACAGGTCCTGCACATTACATGACTGAGGGACCTCTGACAATGAGGCAAGGGGCTGACAGAGAAGAGTCCCCCATGACAGGAGTTTGTGTGCAGCAGAGTCCTGTAGCTAGCTCGTGACTAAATTGAAACTTGAGTTTGTTTCTTGTGTGTTTTTATAGAAGTGGTGTTTTTCCCAAAAAAACAAAGTGCAAAGCTGCTTGAATCAGAAGGAGATTAACACACTGAACCGCTACAAGAGGGCAAAGCTGACTTTTTTTTTTTTTTTTAACTTGAAAAGATCGCAAAGGGACAATGAAGTTTTTTAAAAGAGCCATGTCCAAACCCATCGTCATGGATAGCTCAGAGGTGTTCTCTTTGCCTCCCCCGTTTTAACTTGCCACATCCCAGTCACAGTGGGGTTTTTGTCTTTCTATTCCACAAAAGTTAATGTTCCAATGTTGGTCTTGGTCATTTGCCAACTAATTTTAAAATAAAAAGGCACTGCACCTGATTTGCATAAAGGGCCCCATGAGGGTGTTCCCCCCCTCCTTTTTTTTTTCTTTTCCTGTTTTGTTTTTGTTCTGTTTTGGGTGGGGGTGGGGTGGGAAATTTGGGTTTTTAAGTCCTCTAAACACACTTGGGCACGGAAATGCAGTACTGTAAGGAAGAGGGACCTCCAGCTCACACAAACATCACCTTCAGCTGTATGGAAGGGACGGTTGTATTGGAGTTTGTAAGGCACAGTAAGCATGCTAAGTGGCGGGGATCAGAACTCTCCTGTCTGAACCTACTGAGGAGCAAAGCAGCAAATTACATGGGATCCTGTGGGTCTCCCGTTGGAGAGGCCACAGTAAGATAGTAATGGAACGTGACTGGTCTCCCAACCAAGGTGCACTGAGAAGCAATCAACGGGTCAGTCTCGGCCAGTCCTGGGGAGGTCTGAGTGGTGGTCTTTGGGATAACCTTTGGCCTTATGGATTTGGACTCGAAATTAGAAGAGCCTACCATTTCAGATGCAATCACTTTGGACATGCTTTTGCAGACAGTCCTTAATGCTGAAAACACAGAGAATGGGTAATTCAAGAGGCCTTTCTTTTAAAATAGACTTTTGTGACCCACTAATTGTAAGGTATTGCAAGGTCACTTTGCGTGTGTCATAAAGGTGACTTCCTTATTGGGTGAAGGTCACAGAGGTAGTGTTTGCTTTGATGGAAATAGCTACAGCTGTGTCCCTTCCTGCTTTTTACTTTTCCCTTTGCTTTTTCTCGGCACGTGGTATCTCCACCATTTCTTCTGCACAAAGATGTCTTCTGTTCATCCTGAACATTTTTAAAAAAATGCAGAATTTTATGTGACTGCTTTTTTGCCTCACAATTATGCTGTGAATTTTACAAAAATTTATTTTCTTTTTTGATAATTTATTGTACCAAAGCTGTTTTTATAGCACATAGATGTCTGTAACCAATAATGTAGCAGTTCTGCACTTTGACACAAGGTGTAACTAGACCATTTTTAAATGTCAGTTGAAAATTATGGCTGTACTATTGCTTAAACAAAACTGGAACTGTTGAATCCATAGCCAATACATTTACAGCAATCTGTGTACTGAACATAATAATTGACATCTAATTCAAGACTACAACACCTGTTACATTCTAAATGTGTTCAGGCTTCTGAAGGTAAAGGGACACTGGATCCAGAAGCTATGGAACCAGCAGTTGATTCTTGTATTCCTGATTAACCTACTTGTAAACTTGAAAGCAAGAACTTGGTTGCACCAACAGGTCCAAAATCAGAGCATGAGTAAAGCAAAGGTCTTATGCATGACCTGGAGCGAGCAGGCTGGTGTTGACAGGTGCCTAGTTTCGAGATTATGCTGCCTTAATGTAACACAGTCTGGCAGTTGCTAAATTTGTGTTCCCATTTTAAATTGACCACTTTTTGAGTGTTAGACCTTTGAGCGGTTGAATTGGGAGAGTGCAGATGAGTAATTTACCTGTCCAGGATCAAAAGAAGCCTAGAAAAGAAGCAGTAATCTACCTCTGCCGATAACCCTGTTCAAAACAACTCAGCAGAACACACATTACTTCTTATTGGTCAATTCCATGTGGCTGACTAGGTCAATTTTTTTCTGAACAAAAGCAGGTTTTTATATGTAAACAGTGATAAAAGAAAGGCTGAAAACTATGTGAATGTGAATGGAAACTTGGAACTAATCCGTTTTTATACACCACAAAATTTTTTTGTTGTTAATCAGGAAATCCATATTTATTTTGTAATTAAATGTCAAGCCTGTGGATGATTTTTGAACTTGGTAGTTCATAAAGGTTTACAGTAAATAAAAGGATATCATCTTGAGTATAGCAATATCAAAAGGAACTCAGTAGTTACTGCTGTTTAGGAGTATAAGGTAATGATGGGTCAGGTCATTTTTTTCTGTGCTGGTTGCCACATCTTAAAAAGCACCAAAAAACGAAAGCAGTTTTTAAACCGCTATTTACATAAAGGAAGTCATACAATCCAATGCTTCTGCACACTGTGTTATGTTACAGTCCAGTTTTGTGTGCTTTCCTACACGGTTTGGTTACAGGACTTCTGTGCATTGTAAACATAAACAGCATGGAAAAGGTTAAATACCTGTGTGCAGATTGTAAGATCTGGTCCGGACTTGCTGTGTATATTGTAACGTTAAATGAAAAAGAACCCCCCTTTGTATTATAGTCATGCGGTCTTATGTATGATAAACAGTTGAATAATTTGTCCTCAGACTCTTTACTATGCTTTTTAAAAATTAATTTAAGAATAATGTAAACATAGTAAAAAATCTTCCTATGCAATTCACCTGGTCCAGGTAATGGTCTGGTAGGTATATTGAGTATAAATTTGGTCACACATATAAAAAGGAAACTAGTTAGATGGACCTAAGCCCCAAAACTCTCGGAAACTTTAAAAACTGGAGGTTTAACGGATCATTTTGATTTTTAAAGTTGATGTTTTAAATATGAATGATTACTGTATTCACAGTTTCAGATGCAAAGTGCTGATAGTCTAGTGTTTAGGATGGATGTGAGAGGTGAGATGATTTTCTCTACAGGCTGTGACCTGCTTGGAAGCAATAGGGAACACAGTCATGTTGGCCCTCCTTCCCCAGATCCTCGTATGGGGCATATCTGGGACTTTCGTGTACAAAGTATTAGAATTCTGCTACAATGAATTAATTTCTAACTTAAAGTCTTCTCTTCTTATAGATTAACCTGCATAAGAATATATATATATATTATATATATATATATTAAGGTGGCTTTCAGAAGGCAAAACTTAAAAAGTTAAGTGTTACTCTGTAAAGTTGAGGTTGGCTACATAAAGTTCCACTTACCACATGTAAGAAGAGACTCCCTTTAGTTTTTTCTTAGGGCATGAGCATTTTACTTAGGTAAGTGGCTCATTGTTTATGATATTGGACTCCAGAAATCCTAGGCTTATTTTTATTTAATGAATATTAGAGCTATGTGTAAACAGATAATTGAGGCTGCAATAATCCTGTAAGACTCACAGAATGATCATTGTGTTTGCCGCTGTGCCCTCTTTTGTAGCTCCTATGTTCAACTTACTGTCGTAAGTCTTATAATAAGAAAATATATTAACAAAATTCACAAGCAAGATAGCAAATGCCAAATTTCTTCTAGGTTAGTCTCCCTGGTTCCTTTGGCCTGCCTTTACTTGGCTAGCTTTCAGAATGCAAGTTCAGTGTTCAGTTTAATATCCATTTTTTAGTGGCTCACTTTAGACCCAGAACTTGCTCTTAGTGCGACAGATGAAAAAAGTTGGCAATTTTAAGGTTAAGATTGGGTGAAAACTGGCTTTGGTGTATGGAGACCATATTTGGGTGTCTTAGAACCCTGCCTGGGAGGCTGGGGACCTGGTGCTGGGAAGCCTGTGGTGCCAGGAAGGAGTGGAGCAGAAGTCCTCATTTTCTTAACCACAGCTCTCCTTCCCTAGACCTGTTTCCTGGGGTGGAAACATGCATCAAAGTAATTTTTAGTACCAAGAGCAAGAAAAAACCCTAAGAAAATAGCTTATTTCATTCTTATCATCTCTCTTAATGCATCAGTGCGTCCACTGAGAAGCCTGTGGGCGTCACCTGGGCTTGCACCTGAACTGATTTTACGTCGCTGTGTTTGGTGCACTAGATATTTTTTGTGGAAGAGTCATGTAGGAAGGTAAGTGGTCTGTTGGCTTGTGTGTTTCTTTCTCTTTGGCATTACGTACAGCCAAGGTCCCAGATGTCAGCTGCCCACAGTGAGAAGTGATAAAGAACCAGGGTGTTTCTAGCACCCTCACTGTTTGGATAATATGCACCTTACCTCGGAGAGCACAAGGTATTTGTCATCATTAATTTTTTCAAATTTCTTACCTTAGATTTTCTTCAAAGACAGGTATTTCTCCAACGAAAACACTATGATTTAAACACAAATACATAACGGTACCGGAATCCCACAGGTTTCAGTACACAGCTGCTTTACCTGGAAACGCTGGTTTTCCATAGTTTCCCATCTTGAGGGTAAGTCCATTTGTTAAGAAGTTAGAACCCAGCCAGAGCGGCTCCATTGGTCGAGCGTTGTCCTGTGCACTGAAAGGTTGCGGGTTCGATTCCTGGCACATAACGTGGGTCTCTGTTCCGGGCATGTATGGAAGGCAACCAGTCAGTGTTTCTCTTTCACATGAGTGTGTCTTTTCCCCTCTCCCTTCCTCTCTATAAGCATGCCCTTCCTGAGAATTTAAGAAAAAGGGTGGGAGCTAATGTGTGTGTGTCGGTTCAGGCACGCCTGAGTTCCCTGCCGCGTGCAGTAGAGCTTGGGCATGTTTCAGAGCAGTGAGGAGGCTGCGTGAGCCTTGGGCTGTCTCAGGTACCGCTGTCCAGCCTCAGCTGGTTCTGCAGGAGCAGAGGGGTAGGGTAGGAGCCCTGTGCGTAAGAGGCCAGGAAGATGTGAGCAAGCTCTTGGCGCAGGGTGGGGAACGGTGCCCGTAAGTGGAGAGCGCCGTGCGTGGCGGAAGATGGTGCCCTGCTGGAAGGGAACGGCTTAGGCCTGTAGGAAATGTTGAACTGGTTAAAACGGAGCCCAGGGTGATGAATTGGTGAATCTCGGGATCACACGCATAGAAATACTTCATAGAGATGCAGTAGTGAGGTGGTAATGCTGCTGTGGGCAGAGTTCCACCGTGTGTTCTCAGACCTAGGAAGATCCTCGAGGATTTTTTTTGGGTTGTAACACAGAAAGGCCATGTGGGTATTACATACAATGTTTTGTCTGTCTGACCTTAGTTTATTTGGTTATCTTTCCAATTAAATTTTGAAAATTGCTATCTTTGGGATTTTTTTTTTTTTTTTTGGTTTTTCTTGAAAGTTTTGTTCCCAGTGTTTATGTGTTAGTTACTGTAATTGCCCCCGAGTTCTTTAGCTGAAGCTGCAGTAAAAGTGGGAGGTTCAGAGCCAAGGGAAAAATACAGTGGCAGGTCCTGGGCGGCAGTAGTTCTTCAGGCCTGGCCAGCAGCCAGCCTGCTACCACCCAGGCAAGAGGAGAGGGCTGTGCCCAAGGGACAGCTGCTGGAAGGGAACGGCTTAGGCCTGTAGGAAATGTTGAATTGGTTAAAACAGAGCCCAGAGTGATGAATTGGTGAATCTCCTGATCACACGCATAGAAATACTTCATAGAGATGCAGTAGTGAGGTGGGTGAGGATTGGCCTTGTCAACTCCTTTTAAAACGAAGGTGACTTGCGGTGGTATCAAAGGGTTATATTTTTAAAGATCCTGGCATCACACAGTGAAGTAGTGACCCTAAGGAGAAAGTCCACTTTCACGTACGTCACAGGCAAGCCTGGTCTGTCGCAGAGGCCAGGACGTCCTGTGCTGGGGGAAGTACTTCCCTTCAGGCACAGCTCCGCTTTCAGTGCCCAGCAAATTGGTAAGCAGGATCTAGAAAAAAGGATGGTTTTGGTGGACTGTAGGGGATCTTAAACTGTTGAATCAGCACCCATCAATTAAACAGGAGTTTTCAGTCCTGCTGCACAGCACCTGCAGAATTCACACTCACAGACGCGAGGATCACACTCTGGATCTTTGGGAGTTGTGAGCGGGGCCTGGGCATCTGTGTTTATGAAGCAGCCTCACAGGTGACTGCACCTGCAGCCAGGCACAGCTGGGGTCCGGAGGAGCATGTCGCTGACCTGACAGTACGAGTTAACGGTTCTAAATGTTTTGTGGGAGTTTCTGTACATGTAATTAATTAAAACAGCTTACATGGCGTCACACAGGTTATAAACAGGCCTCCAAGAAAGGCAGAAATTACCAGATTTAAGTATATAAAACTTCCACAATTTCCGCCTTTTTTGTCATCTTTCGAAAGTGGGTTCATGTGACATTCTATCATAGCTGTCAGGTGTCCCATGAGACCTGTGCAAGAACAGCGGGGAGTTCTCGGGGTGTCGAAGGCCCCCGACGCGGCGGCTGTGCTTTCCAGCTCTATCTCCAACTGGGTTCAAGTCTTTGCTCTTCTCCTGGGCAAGTTAACTTCTCCAAGCCGCCTCCTTTTCGTACAAGGGGAATACCTGGCAGCCATGCTCTGTGGGCTTTTATGCAGCCTCCAACGAGGTCGTGCCCTCAGGACCTTGCGGGGAGAGGGGGTAGAGCAGGTGGCCAGCGGGCCGAGCCACAGCGGGAACGAACCTGCGCTTCCTCTCTGCCCGAGGCCGACGCGCTGTGGGGAAGCTCGGCGAGCCCGGGATTCTGGGAGCCATCGAACAGGATCATTCCCGTTTGCTTCTGTCTCGGGTCCGGCTGGGCGTCAGCATCCCCTCACCGCTTGGCTTGCCGCTGCGCAGCGCCGCCGTCCCCGGGAGTCCTGCGCTTGGCTTCCGTGCCACGTGTGGGCGTGGGTGCTCTGTACCGGGGGAGCTTTCAGGAGACTTTCCACCGCGTGGGGGCTGTAGAGGAGCCGCAGTGGAAGGGCGCTGCCCCGCAAGCCCTGCGCTCAGGCCTGGCCGCCCTGTGTCCGGTGGCCCGCGCCCCGCCCTGCCGCGTGCATGCTGCATTTTTAGAGAAAAGGGCAAGTGAAAAGGAGTTCCCGAGTCCTTAGTGATGATAGAGGGCAGCTTGCACAACTTAACAGGTCGTAACCCACATTTTAAAAGCAATTCAGGGGCTGGCTGCTGCTGGGTTTTGTTTTTATTTAATTTGCTTTGTTGACATGTTAGGGGACTCTTCATCCACCAGCTTGGGGTCCCTCCACGTGATCCCCTTTCTCTTTATTCCTAAAGTAACCTTCCTTTCACGAACAGAAGGACAGAAGTCTCTTAGGACAGAAAGTCTGTTTCTCTGCGTTCAAATATAGGTGACCGATGGTACCTCATGGGAACATTTGCATATGGTGGTCTGTGGCTTTGGCGGGATAAAGAGGAAAACCGCAGTTCTGATGACGGGATTTAAGTGTCCGCTTGAGATAAGTAACATTTTTGGGGAAAAGAGAGCTCCCCGTGCTCCACAGACTACCCTCCGGTTGTCAACCAGATTGGGCCGGCTTCGTGCCTCTTCCCAGCCCCTGGCCTTCCCCTGCCCTGTTGGCACATCTCTGCTCTCTGGGCAGGCCTCTGGCATGACGGGCCTGGCCGTGGGGCCAGAGGAGGGTTGGGTAGAATCACCGCGGTCCTGGCTTGTGGCTGAGACCACTTTTCGACAGTGCTCACCCAGCATTCCTTTAGGTCGT